ACAGTCAGTGTCTAGTTTCAAGTCCAAGCTTCTTCACGTAGCCTGTGAAATCTGGGTTTCTGGCACCTGCTGGCCTTGCAGCTTCCTTCATCTGCCCTCTGTCTCCAGCCCCCGCCCTCCCTCCCATTTGCCCGGGGCCTTTGCTCCTTCTGGGAAACACAGAGCGGAAGTAGATGGCTCCTCCTCACCCCCAGGAAGCCCTCCCTCCACCCCTTCTCAAGTGGGCTTCCCACTGGCCCAGAGTCCCCCCCGCCCCCAACAGCGGTCTCCCTACCAGGCTGGGCGTGCCAGGCGGGCAGCGCTCCTACTAACTACTTGCACAGTGGTATTCCTGGCACACAGTGGGTCCCGGTGACATAGCATCCTTCTCGGGTTGTACTCGTCAGCCCCCCTGGACCCAAAGCTCTCAGGTGGGCAGTGGGTCCTTTATCTCTGTGCCTCGCCTGGCACCCAGTGCAGGCCCCAGAGGGATGCTAGTTCCGTGAAGGGGTTATTTGTATTTCAGAGTCCGCCCCTTCAATGGCTTCATTAGAATCAGCCTGTTCATGGCCCGCCTGGGGGGCTCAGTCCATTAAGCATTCAACTTCGGCTCAGGTGATGATCACCTGGTTCCCGAGTTCAAGCCCAGCCCCGGGCTCTGTGTTGACAGCTTAGAACCTGGAGCCTCAATTCTATGTCTCTCTCCCTCTCTGCCCCTCCCCTGCTTGCACTCTGTCTGTCTCTCTCTCTCTAAAATAAATAAATATTTAAAAAAAAAAAAAGAATCAGCCTGTTCAATGACTTTGCAAAGGACATATTTGAAAGACTTCAATGACAATGAATTCTAAACAGCTGTCAGAATCAATACTGGCATAAAAAACAGCATTCATTTTCATGTGACTAAAATGTCGGTCGCTGGGAGCAAGAAATCCCAGATTCTAAATCCTTCACATACCTTGGCACTAAAGTCTTCCATGGGTCACAAAGAGGGACGTGTTTTTTTCATTATTAGCCTTTACAATTTCATGTTGCAATAGGAATATGAAGTTTTTAAAAGATAAGCTTTAGAAGAAAATAAGATAAAAGATAAGCTTTTTTTTCTTAGATACTCTTTTTTTTCGGTGAAAATGATGTGTTTTATTATAGAATCCTTTTTTAAAACATCAATAATGACCAATATTCTCACCCCCACCCCACAGACCACATATAACGCACCAGAGCTGAGGTCCATGCGTACATTCCACCCACAGATGGAAAGGTCTGCTCTCCCCAGAAGGGAGACAATCACTTTAGCAGCCATGTGCCCCTCATATCAAAAGTTTCCATCAGAACGACACCTTCTACCAGAGAAAAAAATAGAAATTTGTTTCAGAAGTAGCCTAAGCTTGTTTTCAAGCATTTAGAAACCTGTTTCCAACGCGCACATCCCTAAGTGTGCTCATTTATTTTTGTTTAAATGTACACTCCTTTCTATTAAACTTAACTCTTGGATTCCTAAATTAACCCCCAAAGGGGATCATATTATTCTGCTTTGATTTCCTTTTTTTGTTAACTGCCGTTTAAGGAAAAAATGACTCATTCTCCAAGTTGCCGTGGCTTTCATTTTTAAGTTTTACACTTTTTGTCAAAATCTACTATGTTAAAAGTATCATGCAGTCCATGTAGTAAACACAGCCTCTGTCAGCGAGGCATACTAAACTGTGGATTTTCCACATTTCTAATCTGGGTCAGAGGGATTTAGTTGAGCTATGGAGGGTGACCCATGATGGAAGCCACTACCAATCCCTTTGAGCATGTGGATAACAGCCAAGAGAAAATGATACATTGAAGGGAATAGAAGCCATATGACAATTTATACCCTTGTTTATATTTATATAAATATATTAATTAAATTAAAATACATATTAATTTATAGTCTTGTTCCAAAGTGGCCCTGGTAATCCACAAGATTCAAAGGCAGATAAAGGTACTTCATTTGTTAAGATTAAAATAACACATTTTTGAGGCTCAGTTGGTTAAGCGTCCGACTTCAGCTCAGGTCATGATCTCATGGCTCATAAGTTCGAGCCCGGCGTCAGGCTCTGTGCTGACAGCTCAGAGCCTGGAGCCTGCTTCGGATTCTGTGTCTCCCTCTTTCTGCCCCTCCCTTGCTCATGCTTTGTCTCTCTCTCTCTCTCAAAAATAAATAAGCATTAAAAATTAAAGCAATTTTTTTAAACATTTATTTATTTTTGAGAGACAGAGGGAGATAGAGCATGAGTTGGGGAGGAGCAGAGAGAGAGGGAGACACAGAATCCGAAGCAGGCTCCAGGCTCTGAGCTGTCAGCACAGAGCCCGATGTGGCACTTGAACTCGCAAACTGCAAGATCATGACCTGAGCCAAAGTCGGATGCTTCACTGACTGAATGACCCATTTTTTTTAAATAACACACTTTTTTCTGAACACATATAAGTATATCATCCACCAAAGTAGTTTTAAAAATGCATCCTTTAAAGAAGAAAGGAAAGCAGGAATACCTAGTATGACATTAAATTTCCTTTGGACGGTAATTTTCTTGGAATGTGGCTGAAGTTCAGATCTGAATCAAAGATGATAGAACCTGGCTGAGTCTTCAGCAATTATTTTTTTCTCCCCCAAGAAAAGTCATTTGGAAAAATTCGACATGCATTCATGATTTAAAAATAAATGTCTGCACAAACCAGGAGCAGAGGGAACTTAACCTGACCAATCACGTTTATCAAAAAATCCCCTGAAAATATCCCCTCTAGATAAGAATGAAAAGACTGTTACTTTGTACTGCAGGTCCAGCATTAAGCCAAGCGGAAAAGGCATAGAAGACAAAGGACTAGAAAAGGAAGAAAGTATTATTATAGTAAATAACACAATTGTCTATACAGAAAACCCCCAAAATCCACATACGCACTATCAGAAATAGAGGTTTATGGGGCATCTGGGTGGCTCAGTGGGTTGAGTGTCTGGCTCAGGTCATGATTTCACAGTTGTGAGATTGAGCTTGGTGCCAGGCTCCAGGCTCAGCGAGGACTCTCTCTCTTTCTCTCTCTCTCTCTGCCTCTCCCCTGCTCAAGCTCCCTCTCTCAAAATAAATAATTCTTTTTAAAAAAGAAGGTTTAGCAAGGAGGCTGGCTATAAACTAATATAAACAAATCAATTATATCTTTATACTCCAGCAATAAACAAAACCATCTAAAAAGTAAACCTATGGGGTGGCTGGCTGGCTCAGTTGGTAAAGCATGCAACTCTCAATCTCCAGGTTTTGAGTTTGAGCCCCTTGTTGGCATGGAGACTATTTAAAAATAATAACAAATAAAAATATAATTATGGGGGCACCTGGGTGGCTCAGCTGGTTAAGTGCCCGACTCTTGGTTTCAGCTTGGGTCATGATTTCACAGTTCATGAGTTCGAGCCCTGCCTCGGGCTTTGTGCTGACAGTGCAGAGCCTGCTTGGGATTCTCTCTCTCTCTCTCTCTCTCTCTCTCTCTCTGCTCCTACCTGCTCTCGGTCTCTCACTCTCCCAAAATAAATAAAACTTTATTAAAATAAATACAATAAAATTATAAAATAAGAAGCAAATACATAAAATTATAAAATAAGAAGGTGCCTAGGAATAAATATAATAAAAGATGTACAAGCAAAGTTTCTGGAGAAACTTTATAAAATTTTGTGGGACATGAAATTAAATACTTGTCTTACCAAGGATCAAGAGTTTTTATAAAGCTACTGTAAGCAAGGGACAGAGTCCTTGACCAAAGGAACCAAGCAGAGGGCTCAGGAACAGATCCATGGATACAGAAAACTTGGAGAAGGGCCAAGGAGGTAGTGCAGATCCATGGGGAAAAGATGGAGTGTGGAATGATGCCAGGTCTAACGTCTGTCTGCTAGAACTCAAAATTGGATCATCACTTCACAGCCCATGCCATGATCAGTTCTTGACAGATTACACTTAAAACTTTCTGAACATAAGGTGTGGCAGTATCTTTCTGATATTGAGGCACTGAAGGGTTTCTTTTATCAAGAAACAAAAATGTGTTCACTATATAAGAAAAGAGTTGTAAATGTAACCAAATTAGAGCAAGAACATTTTTGCTGATTACTGGAAAGACAGAAAGCCACAATGAAAAAGAGAGGAAAAAAATTACGAACAAAGCAGATATTTATAATACATACTAGTGACCAAGGATTATTATCTAGAATATATGAAGAACTACGAACCAATAAGGAAAAACAACCAAGTTTTTAGAAATGAGCAAAAAACATGAACAAGCATATCACAAAAAGAAACACAAATGATATAAAAACACGTGACGAGATGCTCATTAGTAATTCAGGAAATGCAAAATAAGACCGCGGTGTGATTGTCCTCTTAAACCCACTAGATGGACAAAATCAAGAGTCTGCCTATCCCAGAGAGTAGCAAGGATGGGATTGGGTGGGGCTGACAAGACCATGCCTTAGAACTACTGTTCTGAGAAGCCGTGAGCACAGCAGCTGAAGTATATTGTTCAGACATATTTTCTGGTCCTTCCTGTGCAAATGTTATGCTTTCTGCCCTGTTTGATGCACGGCTTCACCATTTGACTTGCTCTAAAGCTTAGACTCTAACCAACCAGCTCTGAGCGAAGTGGCATGTACCACTTTGCCCTGAGATGGCCAATGTTCCAAGTAGAAGCTCCCCCTCCACCTAAATCTGAGTGAAATAGTGTGGGACAGAGCCGCCACCAACCTGCCACAGCCATGTAATGATAGCAAGAAATGTTATCTGTTGTTTTGGCAAAGTCCATGAAGATTGTGTGCTGGGGAGGCAGGGCGCGACATGTGCTATTTCTGCATAACTTAGCTCATAAAGTTGAACATTCCAATGCTGAAGGTTCAGAAATTTCACTCTGAGGAAGTTTCCCCAGAGACCCTCTTCCACAAGACACATTAAAAAACATTCATACCAACATTGTCTATAATTGCAAGAACAAAAACAAACAAAAAAAAACTGGAAATGACTCAAATGTCTTTTGGCTCAGAATACATTGATAAATTATGGTATATTTGCAAAATTATACAATCATTAAAATGAATCCATTCCAGTTACACACAATTACATGAATGAATCTTATAAATAGAATTTTGAGTGATTAAAGCAAGTCACATACAGCACAATACCATTTTCATAAAGTCAAAAAACAAGCAAAACTAATGTAGTTTGGGGGTACATGAATATATGAGCAATGTTTTAAAAACAAAAACAAAAACAAAAACAAGGGAATGGATTGAATGGACGCTCCCGAGAGACAGTGCCTGGGGGTGAGGTGGGGAGTTTGGCAGAAGATGGGGGAGGGAAGCAACACAGAGGTGAATGCTCTGACCTTGACCCTGACCCTATCAAGGGTCAGATGTTAAATATTGTAGACTTTGTGGGCCCTACTGTCTCTTGTCACAACTCCTCAACTCTGCTGTTATAATGCAAAAGCCACCTGAGTGTGGCCAAGTGTTCCTATAAAACTTTATTTATGGACTCTGAAATTTGAATTTTACGTACTTTTGCATGTCATGAGATACTAGTCTTATTTTGATTTGTTTTTCACTATTTAAACATGTAAATTTTAGCTCATAAGCCGTTCAAAGCCTCAGATTTGGTGGTTGGGGGTCTGGCAACTCCTGCTGTGGGACCCTGGTTGGTCTGTGGGCTCATGGGTGTTCATTCTAGAATGGTTCATTCCTACCTCTTTCATTGATTCATGTATCAAATATTATGTTTAATGTTTTTCAGAATTAAAAACACATATGCAAATTTTTTAATGGGCAAAACAGACGAAGGGGACTAAGAGACATAAACTTCTAGTTGTAAAATGATTAAGTCACAGAGATGACAAGTAGAGCACAGGGGGGACAGTCAATGATCCTGTGGTGACAGATGGGGACTACACTCGTGAGCACTGAGCAATGTACAGAAATGAGCCACTGTGTTATACACCTGAAACTAATATAACATTGCTCATCAATTATACTTCAATAATAAATTAGAAGGACGTTAAACAACAACAAAAGACCAAAACATAATTCCTGTCTCAGAGAAGAGAGTCACAAAGCAGAAGATCCTAGGGTAGAAGGGGCTACAGATGTGCAAAGACATCCAAACTCTTTCCAAAACTCTACCTCAAGGTCTGAGATAGTTAGCCCTTGACCTCAATTTGGGCACTGTCATATTTCCCTCCTTGCATTAGTAGAGCCCATTGTGTCAAATATCTGAACCCAGGGAAAGTTTGATTGGGGGTATTTCCTGCATCTGCGGCTTTTCTGCATATTAGCGCACATACATACATACAAAAAAAAATGGAAATTGATTTTGACTATCATTTTAGCTGGGCCATTGGCCTACATGACTTCATTTGCAGTATAATTCTCTCTCTTTGGGATTAAAAAAAAAAACAGCTCAAACCTATTAAACAAGAAAATGCCCTTTTACCACCACCAGCTTAGTCCTACACATCCCCTTCAAAGAGATACATTTTTAAAGGCCAACCTGTTAGCATTTTGAGAAAACTTGGAGAGGGGGGTAATCTTGAGTCTTATCTAGGATGGTGTTTTTCGATTTAGAAAGATGTGATAGTGGGATCACTCATGTTTCCATGTTGATTCTTCCAAGATGGTTGCAGAGGCACTGTGGATTTTTGCTTCACAGTTCACACTCTCCTTCTTCTTCTTCTGGAAATCGGCAACTACAGGCATCTTCCTCTTGGGCTGTTTGTACTGGTCTCATAAACGCTGAAAAGTAATTTGAAAGCAGCTCATCTTTTGTTATTTGCTTTAACCATTAACAGCCCAGTTGTGTAAATCGGGGTCACGGGGCATCTCTAAGGATGGCCACCGTGCTCAGCTCTGATTTGAACAAGTTCATCGACAAGAAAAGTGATAGCACGTAAGACCTTTTTCTCAGGATAATTTGCAATTTCTTTTTGCCAGTTACTCTTCTTGGTCCTGAACAATGATTGCGTTTATTTACTACGATGGCTTAAAAACTCGGGCATGAATCACGAGAGCATAAAATTAGTCATATCCCAAGCGTAACTATAGTTTCAATCCAGCAGTACGTATTTGAGTCTTGAGTTGCTTAGACACGCTAGACACTTTCTTTTGGTTTTTGTTTGTTTGTTTGTTTTTTATTTATTTCTAGGAGAGAGAGAGAGAGACAGCATGAGCAGGGGAGGGTCAGAGAGAGAGGAGAGAGAGAGAGAGACAGCGTGAGCAGGGGAGGGTCAGAGAGAGAGGGAGTCACAGACTCCGAAACAGGCTCCAGGCTCTGAGCTGACAGTCAGCACAGAGCCCGACGCGAGGCTCGAACCCACAAACCGCGAGATCATGACCTAAGCAAAAGTCGGATGCTTAACCGACTAAGCCACCCAGGCGCCCCTAGACACTTTCTTTTGAAGAAAATGCTTATGGCACCAAGATATTAGATTCTTCCACTACTTCCATCTCTTTGCAGTGAAGGAACTGATTTGTGCATTCGCTCCCAGGTTTCCTTTGACACGTTGGTGTGAAGTAATTTGTGTTACCTCTGAGCAACTCTGCACCTTAAGCAGATTTTTAAAAAATAGTGCAACAAAGCAAAACCACCTGCCTCAGTAATTACATGCTTCTTACTGTAAAAATTCACCGAAGGGAGTGATATCATCAGGCTGGCAACAGAGCTTGCCCCTGACTTTGCTTCCCCTTTGCAAGAAGAATGACTAACAACTATTCAAGAACAAGACACCACTGACAGAATCCTAGGACGCAGGGGTGAGGCCAAAGCGTGCCTCACCTCCGCACCACAGAGACTTCAGACTGCATTCGAAGAGTAAGAGAAGCAACCCCCCCTGACCTCATTGCCTTTCCATCAGGCCAGCCCAGAACCACACAGAAAGGTTCTCCCCAAGCCTCTGGCTCCCCCAGTGCCAAAGAAAAGAGAACCCACAGGGGACCACCAGCCTCTCCCAGCACTTTGTGGGAGACCCTGTTCTGATCTCATGCAACTGCGATGGCAGAGGAATCTTCAGGAATCTGAATGCGCAGAAAAGGGGGAGGAGCCTACGGCCACCTGCACGCAGATCTTAGCCAACGGAGTGCGAATCTGCAAAGCCCAAGCAGCCATCCCAACTAGTAGCCTTGTTTATCTGCAGAGCCAAGTTGAGGCTCACCCTGAACAGGGAAGCTGACAGGGTGCAAATCTGCCTGATTCAGATCCTAGAGCAAGGGGTTTGGCCACCAGAGAAACTGGTTTGCCCGTGGCCAGGCAAGGAGCTGAACCACAGCTCCATCTGCTGTGGGGAATGCCTTCCAGCCCCATCTGACTAGAAGGGCCCATGACAACTCCTGCCCCCCACCCCCATCACTATCCGGCGAAAATATCTTCCAGGAATGAAGGGGAAATCAAGATACTCTCAGTTGAAAAACTAAAAGAATTTGTCACCAGAAGTTCTAGCCAGCACAGTAAGTCAAGAAAAAGAAATAAAAGACTTACAGGCTGGAAAGGAAAAAATAAAACCATCTCTATTTGCAGATGACATTATGGTCCGTGTAAAATCCCAAGGAATTTACAAAAGGCTCCTACAACAAATAAATGAGCTCAACAAAATCACAGAATAGAAGATCAAGCTACAAAATCAACTGTATTCCGATATAGTAGCAACGAATGGGTGGAAACCAAAATTTAAGATACAATACCACTTGCAGTTGCTAAGAAAATGTAAATGCTAATGCCTAAAGGTAACAAAATATGTGCAGGATTTGTATGCTGAAAACCACAAAATGCCGATGAAAAATATAAAAGAGTATACACATAAATTGGAGAGATATATTTTGTTGCATTGGAATACTTTATCTAGCGAAGACATCAGTTCTCACCAAATTAATATACACGTCGAACACAATTGCTCTCAGAACCTTAGCTGACGTTTTTGTAGATACAGACAAGATTGTCCTAAAATTTACGCGGCAGTGAGAAGGAACTAGGACAGCCGAAATGATTTTGGAAAAGAAGAATAAAGTGGGAAGAATCCACCTACTCTTTACCTAAATTCAAAACTTGATTTATAGCTGCCGTAACCAAGATTGTGTGGTATTGGCAGAGCACAAGTACACAGATCAGTGGAACAAAAGAGAAAAACCAGAAATAGCACCCACGCAAATACCACCAACTGATTTTTGACCAAGTCACAAAAGCAATTTTGCGGAGGAAGGATAACGTTTTCAACAAATGACACTAGGGTAAATGGCCATCCACAGGCAAATCAAATAAATAAACAAACAAACAAATAACATTAAAAAAGAATCTTGATGTAAATCTTTCACACCGTATATAGCACTTGGCTAAAAATAAACTATGGATTTAAATGTAAAACATTTAGAAGATGACACAGGAGAAAATAAAAATCTTTGCGATCCAGGACTTGGTGAAGAGTTCTCAGACGTGACTCCATGAATGAAAATAAAAACAACTGGCAAACTGAACTTTATCAAACTTTTTCTCTAGGAGCGCCTGGCTGGCTCAGTGAGTGGAGCGAGCGACTCTTGATCTCAGGGTTGTGAGTTTGAGCCCCACGCTGGGTGTAGATTCCTTAAAAATAAAATCTTAAAAAAATAAAAATAAAATAAGACCTTTTTCTCTGTTGAAGACCCCATGAAGAGGAAGAAACAGCGAACTGCACAGTGGGTAGAAACAATCATGAACCACACACCTGATGAAGAACTCATCGAGAAGATACGAAGAACTCTCAAATGTCAACAGTAAGACAGACAAACAAAAATCCAATCAGAAGACAGACCAAAGGCATGAAGGAACCTTTTGCTGAGGAAAATACACAGATGGAAAGTAAGTACATGAAAAGATGTTTGTTTGATCCTTAGGGGAAGGCAATTGAAGACCAAAGTGAGCGACCACCATATGTCTCTTAGAACAGCTGGATAAGAAACTGTGGCCGTACAAAGTGCTCATAGGGATGAGGAGAAATGATCGCGCATACACCGCTGGCGCGATGTCAAATGGTCCAACTCCTCCGGAAAATAGTTCAGCAGTTTCTTAAAACAACAAACATACGCCTACTGTATGACCCAGAAATCGCACTCCTGGGCATTTATGTTCGAGATATGAAAATGTAAGTCCACGTGTAACCTGTACGTGATTATTCACAAAGACTTTACATGCAATAGTCAAAACTAGAAACAACCAAATGTCTCTCAGTGGGTGAATGGTCAAATAAACTGAGGTTCAGTCTATTTGACTAGAATGCTAGTCGATGTTAAAAAAATAAATAAATAAAGAGCCCACTGTTGAAGCACATTATGCCTCAGGATCTCAGTGACATTAGCCTGAGTGAAAAAAAGCCATCCTGAACAGGTCACATGCTTAGAATCCATTTATTATATCGCATGCCTCGATTTATGTAACATTCTTAGAGTGATGAGTGTGCAGTGGGAAATAGACTCGTGGCTGCTAAGAGTGGGGAGCAGGGGGAGGAAGTGGGTGTGACTGCAGGGGACGAGCAGGACAGGGATCCCGGTGGGGAGGGGACGGTCCTGTGTTGACTATGCCAGACTTTATGCCAGTCTACACATGTGATCAAATGACAGACAGCTGTACACACACATGTCAATGTCGACTGGCTGTTTGTGATATTGTGCTGTAGTTACAGGGGACGTAGCCCCGTGAGTGGCACATGAGACTTTTCTGTACTGTCTTTACAGCTTCCCGTAAGCCTGTAATTATTTCAAAATAGAAACTTTTTGCAAATAACCTAAAACCTTAAAAAAATGGATTACAGTTCATTGCAAGTCACGAATTCCCCATCACTACTCTCCCAAAGCATTCTTACAAAGAACTTCATTGTAGTTGGGGGTGAAGGTGGGAAGGACAAATCTTTAAATCGGAGGTTTTGGTGAGAGCTGAGGGGGACAACCCTCTGTTTTCCTGTGCACTGTAGGATTTTAGCAGCATCTCTGACTCCATTCACTAGGTGCCCTCCACCCTGGCAAGGCTGCGACCGGCAAAACTGTCTCCAGACCTTGCCAAATGTCCTCTTCGGTGCAAAACTGCCCCTGCTTGATAACCACTGGGCTATACTAACCGAAATAAGAAACTTTTCCAGTCTGCTGTAAAAACCCCTGCCTCAAAAGAGCCCATAACAGATACATTTGTATTGGTCTTACGTTGTTTGAATAAATACAGGAGTTTCTTTCTGCCATGTTTAACAATAGAGAAACGGAGAGCCAGAACGAACATGAGGAACAGCACGGCAACTGACATCAGTGCGAGGAAGAAGATGATGATCTGGGAGGTATGACCTTCAAAAAGAGCAAAAGGAGAAATGCATGCAGATATACAGTTTTGCAAATATCCTTACATTTACGCAAGCAAAGAGAAGTGGTACCTTGGACAGCTCGAACCAGCTAACCTGATCAATCTGCCTGTCTCTGAGAAACCTCTTTTTAAAAACCTAAGTCAGTTTCCTAGAGGCCCACACAAATTCAGTGGTTTGGCTTCTCGAGAATATAGAAAACACAGGACGCTATAACCGCCTTTATTTGGCATTATCAAAGGTGAGGTACTTGTCTGGGTCAAGTCTCCCCTTGCTCTGCTTACTAATATGTGTCTCAAGCTGCCCCGCAAACACTTGAAGAAAACTGGGGGCCTCTTGATGCTTGGATAAAAGACGGAAGGCCTACAGGAGGTGCCTCTTGTAGGCAGAGATGTGAGACATCATGGCGTTGGGGCGACGTACATTCCGATCAGAATAGCCATAATACATCCACTCCGACAGAATAGCAATGGGCCCGCTACCTGGATCTCTTGCAGGCACAGGGATGGTGGCAGAGGTCGTGCCCGGAGAGAAGTCGGCCAGAGCCGGTCCACACACCACGTCACTTTCCTTGGTCCCGTTCACACGTACAGACTTGCCATCCAATGAGCAGCTTAGACGGTCCGATGAAAAGAGTTCAGATCATTAATTTAGGTGCAGATCATTCTATTTAAAAATACAGTTTCCATCCAGTAAAGCAGCCTAGTGGCAAAGCTGTGTGGATCCGGGTTCATAAAGATATTATGGAAAATGCCCACTTGACTGGCTGGCTTCCTCCAGCTTTTACGGTTCTCCGCAGTTCATCCTGTTCGACACACCTAACTGGATGCTTCTTTCTGCCCAGGCCGCAGAGCCTGCCTTGTCCTGTGACAGCTTGGTTCAGACTGTTCGGACTGGTTAGTCTCTCACCCTCAATTTCTTTTGATTTTTTTTTTTAATTTTAATGTTTATTTTTGAGAGAGAGACAGACAGACGGAGCATGAGCAGGGGAGGGGCAGAGACAGAGAGGGAGACACAGAATCTGAAGCAGCTCCAGGCTCTGAGCTGTCAGCACAGAGCTCGACGCGGGGCTTGAAGCCACAGACCGCAAGATCACGACCTGAGCCCAAGTCAGGCACTTACCTGACTGAGCCACCCAGGCGCCCCATCTCACCCTCGGTTTCTTAAGTGCATTTAACCATGTCTGACATATATGAAGGACAGACAACTTAGCATAAGGATTAGGAGTTCCTAACCCTAGGACGTGCTGACGTCAGACAGACTAGGGTTTGAGCCCAGGGTCTGTCCCTTTGCAGAATGACCTTGGGCAAGTTAGAAAATCTCACTAAGCCTTAGTTTTCTCATCTGCAAGATAAGGAATACATGCTTCCAGGACAGTTGTGAAGAGCAAATGAATGTCCCAAGGACACACTTTTATGGGGTGGACTTTATGAACCCAGGACTACACATCCCAATAAATGGTAGCTATCATCATCACCTGCTTTGGATTCTGTGTCTCCCTCTCTCTCTGCCCCTCCCTCACTTGCTCTCTGTCTCTCAAAATAAAAAAAAATAAAGACATAAAAATTTTAATTAATTAAAAGGTTAACCCAGATTCTTTGTTTTGAAAACAAAAGGAAATTATACATACTTTTTCCAGGGCCGACAGATCCCATGTTTCTGATCATTAAATGTCCCAAAGCAGCAGTCCTTACAACCTTGAATAAAAATTAAAGCAACAATAAGAAAGGGTATATTTTCCTGATTTTATAGCTCTTTCTGTGATGAACATAATAATAATGTAATTAATTTAATACAGTCTACACAGATATTTCAACAATGCTCCTGGAAACGAAACCCCAAGATGATTAAAGTTTTCATTCTAGTTGTACGTAGAGGATTGTATATATATGTAGAGAACGTATGAAAATACATGATCCTGGTGAATAACAAGCGTTGTGATTTCAAGTTTTTTCCGTTGATTGAAAAATTATTTTGGAAACATCACAGACTTGACTCAGTGGTTTACTGTGTGTTACTTTAAGCTTCTACTAATCTATGTTCTACTTGATATGCAAAGGACCAAGACCTAAACCAATGACCTACATCTAGAGAACAGACTTGCACTAGATTGAATTACAGAACTTACCCTCTTTGGTTAATTCTTGACCTTGTTTACAGTCCTGCTCACATATGGTACATCTCTCCCCCAAGCAGTGGAATCCTGAGATGCACTCACACTCTGCATTGCTGGTGGGGGAACACACTTTCCTGGTCCTAAAAACACCTACAAAGTTTCCCAGTGTTACATTACGCTTGACTTCCGAACTCAGGAAGAAACTTTATGTTCTATGATTTAAACACACACACACACACACACACACACACACCATGCTCAAAAACAAACAAACCCAAAATACAAAAAACAAAATAAACAAAAAACAGACCCATGCTCACTCTACTTAAAGTATAAAGTTTCTTTTTAAATCTCTGTAGAAGACAGTTTTACATCATCCGCATTAAAAGCTTCTCTCTTGTCAAATGTGTGTTTCCTCTAATATTTAAAAGCTCAACTCACAAATTACTGCTCTTACAGTGAATTAGTTTACTGGACTTGCCTTTTGACAAAGGAACCAGAATATTTAACACTTAACACATTCCATCAAGATCAAAACACTAGGGAATAAGAACTTTTCTCCCCAACAAAGGTCCAGGTAAACAATACATCTATAAAAATTTCTAAATGTTTTTATTTTCAAGAGAGAGAAAGAGAGGAGAGAGAGAGAGATAGAGACAGAGACAGAGTGTGAGTGGAGGAGGGGCAGAGAGAAAGGGAGAGACACAGAATCTCAAGCAGGTTCCAGGCTCCGAGCTGTCAGCACAGAGCCTGATACGGGGCTCGAACTCACAAACTGTGAGATCATGACCTGAGCTGAAGTCGGACTCGCAACCGGCTGAGCCACCCAGGAACCCCATACATCTTTTAAATCATACCTTCACACTGCCTGCATATGTCACAGGCCCTTTGTCCACTGGTGCTGGAGAAACTATTTGAAGGGCAAGGAATGCAGATCTGATTCTTGTTTTCCCCACAGAAAGTACCTAGGAAGGTAGATAATAGCTGTACGTTTGACAATGGACAGTCATCACCCAATGTATTATGAAGTTGACAAGAAAACTAACATATGAAACAATGATCCGTTTCTAGGTGGTGCAGTGATACACTTTTCTTTTGATGGACTTTTTAGAACTGCAAGATTGCCCTTAGCATAGTATTGCAAAAAATAAACCAACAGGAAGAAAAAAGTTTCCTTTGTTAAGTTCGCCCAGCTGAAATATAGCATCCAAGAAATATTTGTCAATGAATGAATACAACGTCCTTGAAACAGAGCTCTTTTTTTTTTTCCTGAGAGTGACAGCGTGAGCAGGGGAGGGTCAGAGAGAGAGGGAGATACAGAATCTGAAGCAGGCTCCAGGCTCTGAGCTAGCTGTGAGCACAGAGCCCGACGCAGGGCTCGAACCCACAAACCGTGAGATCATGACCTGAGCCGAAGTCGGACGCTTAACTGACTGAGCCACCCAGGTGCCCCAAAACAGAGCTCATTAACCCTGACCACTAGACTAACTGAGCCATGTGTTCCACAGAATAGATCAAACACCCATGTTAATTTGCTTCTTACCAGGTGGGCATTTGCTACAGGCATCCTGCACTGATCTTGTCCTCTCAAAATTCACGACCAACAACATGGTAGCCACGATGTTGTAATAGCCACTGCCCATGATGAAATCTTGCATAGGTATGACACAAGCAAGGCAGATTCCAGAAGGATTTTAATCAAAGTAGCTGGTTTCACAAATACCACTCTGCAAAAGGTAAACAAAATTTCAAGAATGAAGTGGTTTCTCCTTTTAAAAATTTGTCTACGTTTGGGCCATCACCTCTGCAATTCCTCAAGACTGTAACTTGGGGCTTTTCAGAAACAATCGTTGATGGAATATTATGGAAAAGGTGGCGAATTCATAGACGCTTCTATGATAAGACAGGCATGACTACACACAGAGCTTCACGCAGGTTCACCAAAGTCTAAGAGTGCACTTTCCAACATGTTTTGCCAAAATGCAGAAATAACAATAGCAAGAACTTTTGGGGACTTTCATAGACATTTAGCATTGCCATCCAGATTTCAACAATGCCAGCTGCTTGCTGCCTCTGAGGCAGAGCTCTTAAAATGACAATCTGTTGACAATCTGCAGTTCAGCTCGGTGGGGAGATATCTCATTATTACTCTTCTCCCTTTGTCAGAACAATGCGTGAAAATCTCAACACCTGATCACTAAAACGTTGAAGCGCCTCTCTGCTCAACTCATTATCCCATTTTCTTAATAGACACATATTTGTCCATTTTGAGATTCGAAGCTCGCAGAGTAACAAAGCTAAGAAGAAATCTCCTTGGGCCAGGTTCTTGGTCTTTATTTAATAGGCTAAGGAATAAAAGTTATTAGAAGTTGGAAGGGAAGCGTTTAGACCTGGAGAAACAGAATAAAACTTCTATCCTCACCCCGATTCCATTCCCCCCGACCGCCCCAAATGGACAAACCTTGAGATCTCAGGGCTGGTGAAGAACTTTCCACTCCTCGATTTTCAGAGCAGTGAGGTTCTGTCGCTCAAGAAAGGCTGCAGGTCAAACACAGGAGTTTGGTGACTCAGAAGGGGGCGGGGCCTCGTGGGAAATCCCCACCACAACTCTGTGAGGTTGTTCATTTGATATTTGCTGACCCCAAAATCCCCTAGAGCCCCCGTCCCCACTTGATAATGGCACTTCGAACCATTTCTTGGAAGCAGCTCTCTACTGTTAGGATATCTCTCTGATGACTTTGGGAAAAGGGTTTTATCAGATTTTAAAAGACTCTTTCATGTCAAAAGCTTTAATGGATCCTTAACATATTTGAGGTATTGGGGATGAAGCCCACCTCTTAAATAGATGTCAGCGCTTTTGCCATACCCTACCTCTTGCCTGTATACTAATAATGATTCTATAGCTATAACTCATTGAGTGCGCTGATGTACCAGGCATCACATAAGCACTTTAATGAATACTATCCTCAGAAGAACCCCAGGAGTTAATATCATCATTACTATTAGAACAGCATTATGCAAATAAGCACACTGAGCCTATGAGTCTAGCCAATCAGCAGGACGGGGAGTCAGGATTAGAACCCAGGTCCGCCTGATTCCATTCTACTGTGCTCCTTGCAATGCGTGAGAGACATGGGAAGAAGGAGGAAGAAATAGCACGGAATTTATATGGCGGTTGCCTTTGGGTAAAGTTGAGACCTATGAGGGTTTTTTGGAAAACCATTATTTAATTTTTTGTTTTCAAAAAGGAAGAAGAAGAGGAAGAGGGGAGCAGGGAAGGAAAGGTGGAGGGGGTGGTAAGGTGGGAGGAAGGGGAGGAAGGTGCTCTTGAGATACTAAGATGAACCTGTCCAGTACTGAGAGGCTACGGGCACCCAGGAAGACAACCGAGGGAACTATCTAGCAAGAGTGGTTTCAACTAAAACAGATGGTTTTCTATTGGGATCCAAACAGAAAAGAACTGTTTCCCCTGAGGAGAAGTGGGGGTTCGGTATCAAATTGTATGAAGAGAGGGGAGGAGGGAGCCAATTTTTATTGCACACTTGCTATGTGCTAAGCACTTTACATGTTTCCACGATTCCTATCATACTACCATGCTCCTCCTCGGAAACTTCCAGGAGCTCCCTGTTGTCCACAAAAAAAAAAAAAAAAAAAAAAAAAAAAAAAAAAAAAAAAAAAAAAAAAAAAAAAAAAAAAAAAAAAAAAAAAAAAAAAAAAAAAAAAAAANAAAAAGAAAAAGAAAGGAAAGAAAACCTAGATCCCATGATCCTGATGGTCCAGTATTCAAGGACCTTTGGGACCCAATCTGAAGTCCATGTTTAAAAAAATTAATGGACGCCTGGGTGGCTCAGTCAGTTAAGTGTCCGACTTCTGCTCAGATCATGATCTCACAGTTTGTGGGTTTGAGCCCTGCATCCGGCTGTCTGCTGACAGCTCAGAGCCTGGAGCCGGCTTCAGATTCTTTGTCTCCCCCTCCCCCGCCCCTCCCCCACTCACACTCTGTCTCTTTCTTTTAAAAATAAGTAAACATTAAAAAATAAATTAAATAAATTAAGATATACCTCAAATAACATAAATTTCACTATTTTATTTTATTATTATTTTTAAGTTTATTTGAGAGAGAGAGTGAGAGAGACAGTGTAGGCGGGGGAGGGGCAGAGAGAGAGGGAGAGAGAGAATCTCGAGCAGGCTCCATGCTGTCAGATTAGAGCCCGTCAGAGTGCTTGTCTCATGAGCGTTGAGATCATGACCTGAGCCGAAACCAAGAGTCAGCCACTCAGCCGATTGAGCCATGCAGGCGTCCCAAACTTCACCATTTTAAAGTGTGTATTTCAGTGAATTTTAGTGTATTCATTATGTTGTGCAACTATCATCAGTATATAAATCCAGAACATTTTCCTCACCCCAAACGGATACCCATGAGTAGTCACTCCCCAGGGGACCACCCTGCCTCTGTAACCACTCATCTGTTTTCTGTCTCTGTGAATCTGCCTGTTCCAGACATTCTCTTCACAGAATCATACAGCATCTTGTCTTTTGCATCAGCCTTCTCTCCCTTAGCATGTTTACCCATGTCGTTGTGTGTGTGTCAGAACTTCATTCTTTTTCATGGCTGAATAATATGCCATTGTACCGAGGTCCGCATGTTGTCTATCTGTTCATCAGTCGATGGACATTTGAATTGTTCCAGCTTTTGACGACTATGAATAATGCTGCCATGAATATTTGCGGACATGGTTTTGTATGGGTGTGTTTTCAGTTCCCAGGTGTATACCTAGGCGTGAAATTGTTACATCGTATGGTGATTCTGTTTCACCAATGTCACTGAGGCATTGCCAGGCCCTGGTTTAGGGCAGCTGACCCATTTTCTATCCCCCATCAGCAGCGCATAGGATTCCGATTTCTGCACAGTCTTGCTTGCACTTATTTTCCCATTCTTTAAATTTTTTTATTTTGTGTTTGAAAGAGAAAGTGAGAACACGCTGGAGTGGTGGGGAAAGGGTGAAGGGAGGAGGGCAGAGGGAGAGAGAGAGAGAGAAAGAGAGAGAGAGAGAGAGAGAGAGAGAGAGAGAGAGAATCTTAAGCTCAGACAGGGCTCAATCCCACCACCCTGGGATCATGACCTGAACTGAAATCAAGAGTCAGATGCTCAACTGACTGAGCCACCCATGCACCCCTCCATTTGTTGTTTTTTTTTTTAAGTTTGTTGATTTATTTTGAGAGAGAGAGAGTGCATGCACATGCAAGCTGGGGAGGAGCAGAGAGAGAGAGAAGACCTCAAGCAGGCTCCACACTGCCAGCATGGAGCCCTATCAGAGGCTCGATCTCACAAACCATGAGATCATGACGAAAGCCAAGATCAAGAGTCCCACACTTAACCAACTGAGCCACCCAGGCGCCCCTATTTTTAGTTAAAAATTTTTTTGTTATAGTCATCCTGATAGGTGGCATTTCACTGTGGTTTTCATTTGCTACCTTAGTTCAATTTTATTACGTACCCCTGGCCACCGTCTTCTATGTAACAGGACCGGCAGAGTATAGCAGCTGGTTAAGAGCCTCAGCATTACTGTCAGACTGACTCGGATTGAATCCAGGTTCTGCAGTTGATGGTCCTATGACCTTGGGCAAATTTCTTAATCTCCCTGAGTCAATTATTCCAACCATGTCTACAGACACGATAACACTCTACTTCATCCTCATCCCGTGAGGACTGAGACATTGAACATGAAGTGCTTAGCTCAGTGCCTGGCACATAGTTCTCAAGAAGAAAGGAAACGTTATTATGTGACTTCTGACTTTAAAGTTTCCCTCCCCTAGTCTCCCAGGCTGATCATCAGTAAAACAACCAGAAGCAGCAACAAAAGAGAAGGAAAATGCATGGGCTGCCTACACACTTGGTTGCCACGGTCTGAAAGTCCTCCAAAAGTCACTTTACCTGTGGTCACTGTGGGATCCCCTCCACTGATTTCAGCAGCGTTCACCTCGTGGGAGTTTTATACCATATAAAAATGACACTGCTGATCACCTAACACTTTCAAAGTCACGATCTAACCAGGCAGCCTCCTCATTTACATGTGGTACTCGGGTTAACATTGCAGCATGACATTTAACTGGACTATATTTTCATTTAACTGAATGCTGCTCACGAATCTACGTTTTGGATAGTTTGTGGGCAGAGACGCTACCTCCTCTGAAAGTGACGTCTGTCATTTCCCAGCACAGCAACTAGCTCACTCTTTCAAGCCGGGCTAGTGACCTAAAAGTCTTTACCTAGCGAAAAGATTCTCAAGGTCAGCCTTCGCAGCTCACGTTACACAAAGTCAACCATTTCACAATGAATGTACTGACGGCTATGCACAGCTTGATCCCAGTGTTTAAGGAATTGCCCACTGTTCGTGTTACCACATTCCTGTTTGATAAAACCATCACAGGAAGCTAAGGCACATTCTATAGTTCCCCCAATGCACACACTGTCTGAGCTCACCAAGGTAACCACTTCCCCACCGCTCTTGGTCTATGGCCTGGGAGCACATGGTGAGGGCATCCCTGGGCCGTGGTCCTGGGCTCAGAGAGCAGACACTGTGAGCTTGGGCGTCCTGCAGCTCGGAAAGCCAAATCTTTCTCAAATACCCGGATGTAACAGATTCCTGCATCATCTATTATCTTGCAAGAATAATATGGCAAGTGTAGTTCCCAGAAGTCCCAAGTGTCCATCTTCTTGGTCCTATCTACATTCCCGTAGTTCTGGAAATCTCTGTGCATTAGCTTGGGATTTGTAACAGTCACACAGGAGATCTGAGGAAGACTTTGCAACATTAATTTGTATTATTCCAAATATGCCCATGCACCTAAGAACTGTAAGACTGGGAGCACCTGGCTGGCTCAGTCAGTGGAGCATGCCACTCTTGATCTCGGCGTCATGAGTTCGAGCCCCCATGTTGGGCACAGAGCTTACTCAAATAAATAAACATTCCAAAAATAAAAGAACTTTAATACCGGTTCTTTACTGAAATCCACAAGAAGGACATTGAGCCTCAGAATTGCAAAGAGTTTAAAATTTTTATAACAAATATTTAATGGAATTTAATTACATTTCAAAAATAAAAAGTCTCAGATATATTTAAATAACTAGATATTTGATATATATCATTGTAATTTTATTTTAATAATTGTAAAGCTTTTAGTAGAATAACTTTTTTAAAGGAAACACGAAAAATAATTTTAATTGAAAAATTCTACAGTCACATTTACAATTTACATGACATGCATACAAATTCTGTATTCTTTGAGTACAGTTATAGTTCATGTTTTCACTCCTTCCAGTCAGTACTGTCAATAAATCATGGGTTATGTGAAGTTCTCGGCCAAGGAAATGAAGCAAGAAAAAGAAATTGTATGGAGCAAATATATAATAATTTATGAGTTATGTGTCCTTGCCACCCATTTAAACATTTCTAGACCATCAAAGTATATCCAGGCATCTGCAATAATTAAATTCAGTCATCGGTTGTATTTTCCCAACTTTGTCACATAAAAACAATAATATGTTTATTTCGTTATTTTGAAGATTTCTCTGTTGGAGTAGAAAAACAGAACAGATTTGGGGCGCCTGGGTGGCTCTGTCGGTTAAGCGTCCGACTTTGGCTCAGGTCATGATCTCACGGTTTGTGGGTTCGAGCCCCATGTTAGGCTCTGTGCTGACATGACAGTGCTAAGAGCCTGGAGCCTGCTTTGGATTCTGTGTCTCCCTCTCTCTCTGACCGTTCCCTGCTCACGCTGCCTCTCTCTCAGAAATAAATAAAAAACATTAAAAAAAAAAAAGAAAAAAAAAGAAAAACAGGACAGATTTAACACGTCATTAGCTTGATTTGCCACTTAAATAGGAAGACATAGGTTATGTGAGTGCCATTTCTACACCTGCTCCAGACCGCACAAATGCCGGTGAAAGTATCTAGAGGCACGAAGCAGGCATTCAAGAAACCTTTACTGAATGAATGAATGAATGAATGAACAGCTAAGTGAAGACATGAGTTTGTTAACTGCAGTCTCGTAGTCTGCCTACATCTTCATGACCTAACGTTTTCCTTCCCTCTCCCTTGTGAAGTCATTCTGGTGTGTGTCCCCCCGCCTGAGCTGTATGGTTTGACCCTTCTTTGGGTCTCACATAAGATGCTTTTCCGCTGATCACTAGCATTTGCTGGGGACTCACTCCTGCAAGGCCCTATTCTGTGTGTTTACATAGATTATACCAATTATACCTTCCAACAGCCTTTGTCCCTACTTTAGAGATGAGGAAACTAGAGCACAGAGAACCCAGGTAGGCTGCCCAATGTCACCTGGCTGGTAAGGAGCAGGGAAAGGGTTCAAACCTGGCTGGCTGGCTCTTAACAAGGACTCTTCATCTTTCTGTGCTCAGTACCCCTTTATCCTGTGGGCTCTATGCGTGTGGCCCCTCCTGGAATTCTCTTTTTTTAAAATTTTTTTCCCTAATGTTTATTTTATTTTTGAGAGACAGAAAGACAGAATGTGAGCAGGGAAGTGGCATAGAGAGAGGGAGACACAGAATCTGAAGCAGGCTCCAGGCTCTGAGCTGTCAGCACAGAGCCCGACATGGGGCTCGAACCCACAAACCATGAGATCATGACCTGAGCCAAAGTCAGCCACTTAACTGACTGAGCCACCCAGGTGCCCCTGGAAGTCTCTTTTTAAGTTTGTAAAATATAATACAAAGGATTACAGAGGAAACCCATCGTTTTGAAATATACCCACCAAATATTTAAAAAGCCAGCTTGCAGGGGCGCCTGGGTGGCTCACTCTGTTGAGCGTCTGACTTCGGCTCAGATCATGATCTAGCGTGCATGGGTTCAGGCCCCGCGTCAGGCTCTGTGCTGACAACTCAGAGCCTGGAGCCTCCTTCTGATTCTGTGTCTCCTTCTCTCTCCACCCCTCCCCTGCTCACTCTCTTGTCTCTCAAAAAGTAAAATAAAACATTAAAAAAATTTTTTTAAGCCAACTTGCAATATATGGTAATACATGGACTTCTTCATTAACACATACCTGTCCTAGTTTCAGATTAATCACGAGTGTCAATGGTACCTGCAATAACCATGACGTGGTATGAAAATAACCGATTTCTACTGGTGCGACATCATACGTTCCCTTGGCTCTGCTCTGAGGATTTTTAAATTCAAGCCTGAAGGAAATACTAGATTCCTGCTAGAGGTTAGTGAAAATAAAAGATGTGATTTTTTTTTTTTTTTCCCGTCCAGCCTCACAGACCCCTGAATGCTATCTGTGCCCTGTGGGCGTCTGAGGACCCTAAGATCACCTCCTCTATGCACAAGGCCTCCTTGCTGCCTTTCCTGTCTTGCATTGGGACAGATACTCAGTACTTGGTTTTAGCTCTGGGAATCTGCTCTTACTCTTTCTTCTTTCGGGTCCTTATATAGATCCTGTCGCTGCACCTTAAGGTCTATCTGTACAATTTCTAACCCTCCCCGTCTCCATCGAGATGGCACATTTTTATGGTCTATCACTTCCTGTGTTCCTCTCCTATGGGCGCTTCACCCATGGATTTAGACGGGTTGCAACACTGACAAATAAATGTCTTCTAATACTTAATAAAATACTTAATAATAGTTAATACTTCTTGGCTGCTTTCTGCACCACAGATGTTATACTCAGCCCACCGAATACTTAGCCTCTCAGCAATTCTACAAGGGCAAGAGCTGTTGTGACTCTTCTAGTGTTAAAGAAACAGAAGTTGGGGCACCTGGGTGGCTCAGTCAGTTAAGCGTCCTACTTCGACTCAGGTCATGATCTCGCGGTTCGTGGGTTCAAGCCCCACATCGGGTTCTGTGCTGGCAGCTCAGAACCTGGAGCCTGTTTGGATTCTGTCTCCCTCTCTCTCTGCCCCCTCCCCAGCTCATGTTCTGTCTCTCTGTCTCAAAAATAAACTATAAAAATTAAAAAAAAAAAAAAAAAAGAAAGAAACAGAAGTTGAGAGAATTCAAGTGACCAAGCCAAGCATTAATGGTGGCACTAGATTGTCTACGATGGACCAGTGTTCTAGTTTCATCTCTGTTCCTTTAATGCTCAGAATAACCCTATGAAGTTAGTGCCCTACCTCATACAGGGGCCCTGAGGCCTGAGGGTCAGGGAACTTGTTCAGGACCACCCAGCTAGCACGGAGAGAGCTGGGCTTACCCGCAGACAGGCTGGAGTCAGAGGACATGCATTTTCTCAGCACACCAGGCAGCCACCTTTAGGGGAAGGAAAAGCCAAGGTTGGAGCCGAGGTGTTCTCATTCCCAGGCTCCTTTAACATTTGGCCACGGGCTCTGACTGACCTGGGAGCTACTCATTCCTGTGAATGAACACAAAGACATTTGACTCAGCAATGGAGCCTGAGACACTGCCGATGTAGTGGTTTGAGAGCTGAGTCGGAAACCACATTGATCTGATCTCATCTATGTGAATGACTGCCAATAAACTGACAGTTTAAACCTCGAGAAATGTGATGAAGACTGGAATCCACAGCAGCCACTTTTTGGAGGAAGCTAGGTTAACTTTTCAAAACTTAAGAGCATGGAAGCAAAGATCATTAAGGAAGCAAGTGCTACGTATTTTAAAATTCGACTGGAGAGAGTTGCCACAGGTCGCTTAAAGGGAAGTGCTTTGTGGGCTGCAGCCGGTAGCTATGATGAAAGAAAATTCACCCTGACAAGCAAGGTTATCCTGAAGCTTATGACTTGCTCTGAAAGCGGGCTTCTGCCTGTGGAGTCCTGGCCTCTCCCTAGCATTCACCTCGTTCCTGGGGAAGGAACAAACACGCAGACACACGCAACTACTTCCTAAACTCAAATTTTGCCAACGAACATCCAAGTATTTTCCCTCCGAATCAAAAGCAAGTCATCATCCGAAGATGGATTTTGTTTCCTTTTGAACTTTTTAATGGTGATCGGTATCCTCCACCAAATGACTCCACTCACAAGTCGATCCGTTTCTTCCTTCACAAACTCTGCCTCCTTGTCTTCTGGAATTTCCAGTATAATGGAAGACCACTGTGTAAACCATTGGTTTTCATTAAGATTTCAGGGCACTGGGTGGCTCAGCCGTTTCAATTCGATAACTAAATAAGAGCTCCAGTGTATGTGCATGTAAGTTGTGGATACTTAACATACACCTACCAGGTCTACAGCACTCAAACAAGTTCTGAATTTCTTTGTTACTGTCATTAAATTATTCTTGACCCCTTACCAACTCAATAAATTTGACTCACAAGCATCTACTGAACTTCTGATGCAAGTGTGCACAGGATATCTGATCTGTCACTTCTGCTTTGTGACCTGTTCCACCCCCCAAGCCGGCCTTCCCTGCTGCTCCTGGACTTGGACAGAGGGACCACACTCCTGCTCCTCACTTTCTGGGCCTCCTCTTACCCAGGTCTCCTAAAGAGCGCCGCCCCTCATTATTCTCCATCTCCTCTCACCCTTCTACTTTCCTTCCCAGCACATATTACCACCTAGCACCCAGTTATTCATGCAACTGTTTACTCTCCATCCTCTGTCGCTCTCACGGACATCAGCTCTGTCATAGGGGATGTGGCTTTTTCACGGCTGTGTCCCGGGCACCATCAGTCCTGGGCACAGGACAGGCACTCAATTGATGCTTTGTGGACGAATTTTGCTGCCTTGAGAGGCATATCGAGATAGAACACCATCCCACCATCCCAACGGCCTTCACAGCCTGGAGTGGTAGGCAGGCATTTATACACATAACTAAGCTAAGGCCGCACAGCCTTACAGATTCCATACTAAGAGAACAAAGTGCTGTGGGAATATAAGCCTCCTGGAGCACTTTACGAGGGAACTGGGTTTTCCAAGGTGGAGAACAGCTTGAAAGGCTGGTGTGGAAGCAGAAGGCTTTCCAGTTAGAGGAACTGCTTTCTGCCAAAGCGTGGAGGCGGCCAAGTGCGGCGTATGTTCAAGGCACAAGAAAAAATGAATGAGGGAGAGTAAGAGGTAAGAACACGAAAGATGAGGACGATGTCTGAACCACGGTGTGGAGGGATCTGAACGCACGAGCATACCTTCCACTGACTGAAAGCCCCCAGGTGGGCGCTCACCGCCAGCGCCGGCGGACCCGCAGCACCACGCGGGCGTGCCCAAGCTTGCCAAAACCGTGTTTTCTCCGTGGGTGCCCCCACGTGCACTGGGCGGGCTAGAGAAAAGAAAGGGATTCAGGATACAGTCAAAGGGCGGGAGCAAGGAGTCAGAAGGTTCTGCTAGATTCAAATGTGTATCGCAGGGAAGGGTGACTGATCGCTTAGACCACTGTGAGAAACCGGATCACCGGGATCCCAAGGTCACTGGAATCTGCAAACACCGCAGCAGAATAGGGATAAGGCCCAGCCGCGGGGACCAGCCACGCTTCACTTCCTCTGAGCTCTCGTTTTACGTCACTAGGGCCTCACCAAATTCGGGGCAGGCATTCCTATTCACGTGTTACAAACGAGAGGTGTTTGAACGCTTTTGATAACCCTGTACTGAAACCCGAATCAGATCCTACTCTCTCTCCCGGCGGTTAGGATGCCAGTAAGGGCGGAGCAGGGCAGTGCTTCCCACGAGGAGCCGGAGACGTGAGAGCAAACGAGGCCCGCGCGGCAGAGCCTCGAGTCCGACGCGGGGCCCTGCAGGTCTCCCCAAAGCCATCTCGGAGCCCCCGCGCGCCCACTGGCGTCCGCCACCGGAACCAATCTGGGCTGAGGAGGCGAGAAGGGTGAACTTCCTGCCTCGCCTACGCGGACCGCAACCCCCCCCGGAAGTTCGCGGTGTCGCAAAGGTGCGACGGTGACCCCACCGTGTCCGGCGGCTCGCTCTAATACTTCCGCCCGCCCACAGAGAACGGGACGCGCCGCCTGGACCTCGGACCCAGCCGGCCGCCCCGCCCCCTCGCGCGGGGCCCCGCCCACTGCGGCGCGGCGCGACCAATCCCGGGCGCCGCCCGCCCCGGGCGCCGGAAGCGGGCCTCACGTCACTGCAGGTGGGCCGCTGACCTCGGGCTCCCGGCCGGCCGTGGGAGGGGTGCCGGGTGGCCCACGCCGGGGGGCTTTCGCGCCGGGTGGGAGCAGAGGCGAAGCCACCCCCCGGGCCCCTCACAGCCCTCGGTGTCAGAATTTCCCCCTTGCGCCAGCGCCGCCTCAAATGTCAGGGCTCGCCCACTCTTCTCCTGTTTCGCCGACCTAACCTTTCGGGGGCTCGGAGGGGAAATTCGCCGTTTCGGCCGGACCTCCCTGGAGCCTGCCCCGACCCATCCTTTAGTGGATGCTGAAAAATACATTCATTTAATTCCGCATATGGCTTCCTTCCACCCATTAACTGCAGTTTGGCCCCCTCGCCCCTGGAACCCGGGAACCCGGGAACCGGATGGAAATAAAGCGACCTTATCCGCGGCACGTAGCCTTTCCTCGTCGCTGTCCGATGAAACGAATTCGACGTGGCAACTAAGATTAAAATAGGAATAAGAAATCGGTTGGAGCCCCATTGTAAACTGCACTGTTTTGCAGAGGCGGAGTATTCATCTACAGCGACAGGCAAAGCAAGGAGCATCTTTGGGGTGAAGTTAAAGAGACTGCTTAGCAAGTATTGAGCACCGGCTGTGTGCCAGGGACTGTGATAGATGCTATGGATTCAGCAGTGACCAAGACAGGAAGGTCCTATTGAGTTCACAGGGTCAGAGGGAGACAGATAATAAGTAAACAAAAGGCAAAATGCTGAATATCAATGAGATAAAAGATACATTCACATTAATAGAAAATGAGCATTTACTGAGATGAGATGAGAAATGCAAGTGAGGCATGAAAAAATAGGCTGGAAGCAGTTTCTTTGCTATTTATGGTGATCGGGCTAATTTGGGGTAGAGTTGCTTTTTGGTATGAGGATCAGAGTGGCCAAACTGGTGGCGGTTTTTAATGTTGGGCAGGCGAAAGCTTTACCTCCTTAGGCTCTCTGGCAGAGCCTGAGAATTAAATCGACAACAAAGGTTAAACAGGACAAAAGTATACGAATTTACTTAATGCAAGTTTTACATGATCCAGGAGCTTTCATAAGAAAATGACACAGGGGCGCCTGGGTGGCTCAGTCGGTTAAGTGGCTGACATCCCCTCAAGTCATAATCTCACTGTTTGTGAGTTTGATCGGGCCCTGCATGGGGCTGTGTGCTGACAGCTCAGAGCCTGGAGCCTGTCTTCGGATTCTGTGTCTCCCTCTCTGACCCTCCCCTGCTCATGCTGTCTCTATCTCTCTCTCAAAAATAAATAAAATATTAAAAAAAAACTAAAAGTTTAAAAGAATTAGAAAAAAAGAAAACGACACAAAGAAGTGGCAAAAGCTAAATGTTTATATATTGGGTTGAACAAAGTGGCAATTGTGGAAAAGTCATGAAAATAAAACAGGGAGACTAACGGAAGTTATTTTAAGGTCTCTGTGTGCAAATTCTTCCAGACTCAAGTTCCTCTCTGCTGATGTTTCTTTCCTCCTGGTGCTGGGAGAGCCCTGCTCACCTTAGTTTCCCCTTCTGCTTTCGGGATAAAAAACTGGGAAGCTGAGTGCCTTTCTTGCACCTGTTGTTTGAAAAAATGCCTGTAACTCGGCATGCCTGGGTGGCTCAGTCCGTGAAGTGTTTGACTCGTGACTTTGGCTCATGTCATGGTCTCAGGGTTTGTGGGATTAAGCTGAACACTGTGGAGCCAGCCTGCTTGAAATTCTCTCTTCTGCTCCTCCACCCCTTCCACCCCTTCTCCTCGAGCATTCTCTCTGCCTCTCGAAAGAACAAAGTTTTTTAAAAAATGCTTTTAACTCAAAATAATCAATGTGCCAAGGTGACATATTTGGAGATAGCATGTCCTGAACTCTGTCACTAACGTTATCAACATCATTTCTCCATTGTTGGATTTTGAGGTCAGCAAGGCAAAACAGTATCTTTTAGTTAAATGTGGCAACTGCTATTAGAAACTGGTTTTAAGCTCCTTGAAAACAGCTAGTCTTTTAGTTTGTATTTATGCATAAAGACTTGTCAGATATTTTAATTTTTTTAATGTTTATTTAGTTTTGAGAGAGAAAGAGAGACAGAGTGCAAGCAGGGGAGGAACAGAGAGAGAGGGAGACACAGAATCTGAAGCAGGCTCCAGGCTCCAAGCTGTCGACACAGAGCCTGACGTGGGGCTCGAACCCACAAACCATGAGATCATGACCTGAGCTGAAGTCGGAAGCTTAACCGATTGAGCCACCCAGGCGCCCCTTGTCAAATATTGAATAAAAGAAGTGAATAGAATGAGATTTTTCTGCCTGGAAATAAAGGACTGAACTAGGAGTTGTCTTCGCTACCAGTAAAAGAGTAATATATATATATATATACACATACATTTTTGTGAATGGTTTAATTTTTGCTGCTTTATTCTGCAAATGTATGATGATAAGTAGGTATGAACTAGAAAGCGGAGTGTATGAGTGTTATGGACTCATTAAGTAGTACTGATAGAGTTTATGGTGGGCAGAGTGTGAAATTTGGTATCAAAAGTTAACCAAGATTCTGCAGGACCTTTTACACTCATTTCACCCCTCTGGACCCTCATCTTCTACATCTGTGAAATGGAAAGTACATTTTCCAGGAAGTCAATATATAATGTCTAAAACCAGTAAGGAGAAACGACAGTATTAGCATATTATTTAAAAATACAGTTGGCTCGGGGCGCCTGGGTGGCTTAGTCGGTTAAGCGTCCGACTTTCGCTTAGGTCATGATCTCGCGGTTCGTGGGTTCGAGCCCCGCATCGGGCTCTGTGCTGACTGCCAGCTCGGAGCCTGGAGCCTGTTTCAGTCTGTGACTCCCTCTCACTCTGACCCTCCCCTGCTCACGCTGTCTCTCTCTCTCTCTCCTAGAAATAAATAAAACCTTTAAAAAAAAAAAATACAGTTGTCTCTTACAAGGGTTAGGGGCATCAACGCCCCCTGCCCCCTCGTGCAGTCAGAAACCTACACATAACTTTTGACTCCCCCCAAAACTTAATTATTAATACCCTTCTGTTGATGGAAGCCTAATGAATAACATAGTCAATTAACACATATTTTGTTTGTTGTATTTTACATATACTGTATTCTTGTAATAAAGTAAGCTAGAGAACAGAAAATGTCAAGAAAATCCTAAGAGAAAATGTTTAGAGTACTGAACTGTGCTCACTGAAAAAAATCTGTGCATAAGCAATCCCACGCGGTTCAAGCCCATGTAGTTCAAGGGTCAACGGTATTGAGATAACTAAGAAATAAGTAAAAGAGTTAAAAATATTTGCCTCTGGAAAGCAGGGGTGAGGGGTAGGAAGGACTGAGTCAGAAGACTGCTGTTTTTCATTATGAACCTTTTAAAGCTGCATCCCTGGGCTATTGAGGTGTAACAAACCAGAGCTATTGTGCAGCAATTTGGCTACGGTGACTCCTTTGGGTACAGGTACAGGTTGGCGGAGACGCTCTGTTCCACCTGAGTTCATTCTGAAGCCCAGCTTGAGAGGGCGGTGGCGGCAGCCCTGGAGGAAAGTTCTTCCCATGGCAAAACAAAATTATAAGAGAGCACGGCTGATCGGCAGGTCAGTGCTTTTCAAAACCTTGACCGGCCTCGTCTGTTAACATTCTATTAGCGAAAACAAGGGCAAATGCAAAGTCAAGGGGCAGGGAGTATCCGCCACTCGCGCAGGTGAAAGAGGAAAGAGTGGCCATTTCTGAAAGAGCATAAGTAACGCCATAGTTGTGAACACTGTGTGCGACGTATTCATTTGATAAAAACTGCTGCTGACCCAGGTCCAGTTCAGATCTTGATGGTGATGCGGATGTCTCAGGAGCCTTGCCATTTTTCTGTCCTATCTCGTTGCTGCAGCAGGCCACCAGCACAGGCGTCTCCTTACAAGAGTTTACTACGGGGCCTGGAACACAGCAGCCCGTCTTCTCTAGGGTCTTCCTCCAACTACCTAAAATCCCTCCTTTTTGAGACACATCTGACCACGTGCCTCTCTTTCCCCACCATACTCAAAACTCAAAGGGGGTGGCTTTTGCCTGCTTCCTTGGCAAAGAGCCAAAGATGAAGTCATTGCACACTTCCAAAGTGTCTTCTTAAAATGCCAAATGATTAGACACTTAAAATTTTTTTGCACAATGCAGTGTTGCATGAATACATCTATTTACAATTCTTAAAAATTAAATTTTTTTTAACATTTATTCATTTTTGAGAGACAGAGAGACAGAACCTGAGTGGGGGAGGCGCAGAGAGTGGGAGCCACAGAATCTGAAGCCGGCTCCAGGCTTCTGCCTGTCAGCACAGAGCCCTAGGTGGGGCTCGAACTCACCACGAGATCATGACCTGAGCTGAAGTTGGACGCTTAATCGACTGAGCCACCCAGGCGCCCCTATAATCCTTAAAATCTCTCATCACCACTGTAGAATCTCATGAAATATACTCAAGTGCTTTGTAAACTAACAAAGGAATGTAAGTTATTTCTTGAAAAGAAACATGTTTTTAGTATTTTAACCGAAACTTCAAAAACCTGACATACTTAAAATACTGTTTGATCTCACATAATACTGGTGAGAGGGCTAAGTGACTCACTCAGCTTGCATGGAGTCGCTCCAGTGTATTTACCACTTCTGGGAATTTACCCACCAGTTTTACCCACACAAGTAGGATGTATGAATAAGGTTATTCAGTGCAGTGCTGTCTGTACAGAAAGCAACTGGAAATAACCTGTCTTATCAGTAAAGCATCGGTAAATAAACCATGGGACATGGCACAATGGCATACTAGCTGGAAAAAAAAAGAGGAAGTTCTTTTTGATAAGGAAAGATCTCCAACACATTCAATTAATAAGCCGGTGGCAGTGCGAGATAAAGGGCAGAACAATGTAGATAATCTGCTACATTTCTGAGAAAGAGGTAAAACTGTAGTTCTAGCTTTTGCTTGCATAAGGAAAACACTGGAAAGATGCCCAGGAAATTAATATAACATCACCCTCGGGCAGCAGTGGGGAGGGTCCGGGTGGGGACAAGGCCAGGGGCCCATCTGTTCAATGTTAACTGTTGTCAGATTCGTTTTTGAAATGGGTTAAACTATCAGCATTCAGGGGGCGCCTGGGTGGCTCTGTCGGTGAAGCATTTGGCTCTTGGGTCTGGCTCTGGCCATGATCCCATGGTTTAGGAGTTCGAGCCCCGCTCAGGCTCTGCCTGACCGTGCAGAGCCTCCTTGGGATTCTCTCTCTCTCTCAAAATAAATAAAAACTTTAAAAAAAAAAAAAAGATCAGTATTCAACTCATACTTGTAAAACATAAATTTGAGATTATATAATTTAAAGCGCTTGTCAGATCACCGTGCTCAGCAGCGCTCCGCGGTGGGATGTTCGGAAAAAAGAACTCTGAGAAACGAACACACGTGAAATCATCGCATGCAAATAAATGCTGGGTCGCAGGCGATCGAGGTCCGGCAGGCCGCCCTGGGGAGACGGGGTCGGGAATAGGCGGCGGGTGGGAGGGTGGCGGACGCGGGCGGGCGCTCCAAGGGAGGCCGAGTGCACAGAAGCGTGAAGGTACAACTCCGCTCCAGGAAAACGGGGTACAGCAAACCGCCAAGCTCCCGAGGGGGTGCCCCCGCCTCCGCCCGGTGGGGAAAACCGAGTTAACTCCGGCGGCCGCCGGGGACGGGCCGGACCACGCCACTCGAGGCGGGGGAGACTTCGTGTCCACGCGCGAGCCCACGGCATTCCCGGGGCGCTGGTTGGAGACGACCCCCAGACGCAGAGCCGGGACGCGAAAAGGCGGGCGCACCCCGCAGCGGCCCAAGGTGGGCTCGGCCGGACGTGACGTAAGGGACGAGCAGCGCTAGTGCAGGCGGCTCGGGGTTGAGGAGGAAGTGGGGGCCTGGGCGGCGGGCGTCTGCGCAGTCCCGGGGGGGCGGGGCAGAATGAGAAGCCGGGCGTCGTGCGCCTGCGCGTGATCAGGCTGCGGGGGGCGGAGGAAAGACGGGCGTCTGCGCCGTACCGGGGAGGCGGGGCCGGACGTGGACGGGGGCGGGGCGGCGTGCGTCTGCGCAGTGCGGGGCTGAGGGCCCGAACCCTGGCGACGTGCGTGCGTGCGTGCGTGTGTGCGCGCGACCCGTTTAGTCCCGTTCTGCTTCTGCTCGGTCGTCCCCGGCGCGGAGTTGGGCAGAGTCGAGGTTCGGGTCGGGGTCTGGGGAGCGCTCAGGGTGGCGAGGGGACCACGGGCACCCCGGCGCGGGCCTCGGAAGGGGCCGCCGAGGGACGAGGTCCCGCCGCGCCTGCGGAGCGGGCGGCCTTCGGCCGGGAGCGCACGGGGCGGCGTCGGCCGCTCCGGGAGTGTGTGCCCGGCGTCCGGCAGTGGGGACTGGCCGGTGCGGTGTTTGTGGAAGTGCCCTCCTTAGCCTCTGGTTTGCACGGACAGCAATCTGCACAAGAACAGGCTCCAAGCCGCCCAGCCCCTCGCTTGGCAGCTGCCGTTTACGAGAGGGCCAAGTGCAAAGAAAGAATCCGGTGGGGCCGAGTGTAGTGGGGGATTCCCGTGTTTCCACGTCATCAAAAAATGTGATAGACTATTTAACACTGTTAACTTTCCAGAATTTTTCGTACAGTTATTGGAACTTAAAAAAAAAATCCCCTCCAAAAATCTCAACGGCTCATTGCTAAAGTCTGTGTGCAGCTTTTTGCCCGTGAAATTAAGTTTAGTCGTTTCTTTGAAATAGTACTAACAAAAAGAAAGTTAAATGCAAGAGCTGTGTGTTACTGTATATTGGATTTTTTTTAAAAAATACGGTAAAAGGAAATCCAAACAGTACTAACACGTGTTAGCAGCCTTACTGTGTTCTCTCAAAAATCCTGCACTTGAAATTCTGTGTAAACCAGTATTAACCTATAAGCGCTTTTGTTTGTCTGTCTATGAGAACTTTTTCCCTAAGAAGCACCTCGATACTCTGCTTAAAAATGTTCCTAAGCTTAAAGTTTTTGGCTATTTTTAGGGTTGCAGTGAAAGTTTAATTTTTTTTTTTTTATTAAGTCTTGAACAAAAGTATAACATAAAAATGGCTTCGAAAAGAGCTCTGGTCATCCTGGCCAAAGGAGCAGAGGAGATGGAGACAGTCATTCCTGTCGATGTCATGAGGCGAGCCGGAGTAAGTCCCCTAATGTCTTCTAGCCTTCCTCCTTTTCAAAATTTTTGGGTTTTGAAGTCATTTTGAATAAAATAATATTCAGTGTACTTCATAAAATATTTGAAACACAAATTCAGATGACTGTTTAATAATAATTACCTGTTTATTCACTGTCCACGTTTAATACTTGTTAGTATTTTGCCATATTTCTTTTAGATCTACTTCCTGAGGAGTAGATGTGTTAAACATCTTTTTTTGGTTTATTTATTTTGAGAGAGAAAGTGCATGTGTGAGCAGGTAGGGTGGGAGGAGAGAGAATTCCAAACAGGCCCCATATGCTGTCAGCACAAAGCCCAGTGTGGGGCTCAAACCCATGAACTGTGAGATCATGACCTGAGCCAAAATCAAAGAGTTGGACACTCGATTGACTGAACCACCCAGTTGCCCCCTGAGGAACAAATGCTTAAAAGAAATAAAGCCTTACCCAGCCCTCTTTGTGGATTTCCCCAATGCTATGATTTCCCTTCCTCTGGCCCCAGAGATAGCTCTATCCTCATTGATGTGTGTCCATCCCATGCATGTCTTCAAAGTAGCATTAAACAGCAGGTGCATTTTGCATCTCTCTCTTTCTCTCTATGTATACACACACACACACACACACACACACATCCGTAGTGAGCAGTTAAATAGCATTTACTGATACATTATTTATTTACTGGTGTCATTCTGAGTACATCATGTAAGCTTGTTGAACTCTTCCAACAACCCCGTGAGTTATTGCCACCCTCATTGTACAATTGAAGAAACTGAGGCACAGTGACACTAGAGGAAGTGTGCACATTGTAGACTTAGTAAGAAGAGCCAATACTCAGGCCCCTAGCAGTCTGGCCTCAGAGTCTATTAACCCTTCCTTTCTCTGCTTCCCATAAGTGAAGACACACAGATGCAGTTTGTTTCTCTACAATAGCTACTTGGCGTTCTGCTGTATGAATGTGCTGTGGTCTGCTCTGACAGTTTCACGGCATTTCAATTCTGTGATATTCTCGCAGAGATTTTCTTCTGCAAACGTGTGGAAAGTTTTTCCAGGTTTAATGACTGAGAGTGGAATTGCTCGGCCAGAGGACAGCCCACAGTACCCTCACCTGGGTTTTGCCAGCTCCCCAACACGTGGGCCCCCCTGCAGTATAGGAAAATTCCCATTTTTCTAGTATACCAGCTCTTGCTTAGGTCAACTTTGTAAATTTTTGCAAGCAAAAGTAGGATTTCATTGTTCTAACTTGTCTTTCTGTTTTAAGAAAATACCATGACCTTTAAATGACAGCAGTAACTCTGCAAGGTGGATTAGTAACAGGATGATCATGTAATTATCACCCGAACCAGAACACTTGTGGGAGAAAGGACACTAACCAGACGGGGTCCCAGGACAGCATCTGTGAGTCAGGACTGTTTTAGGGAAACCGGGACAGAGCCGGTTATAAAGTACATTTCACTAACTTACTAGCTGCGGCGCAGCATCAGCATGGTTTTATGGCAGTATTTCCTGCCAAGTTATTTTAAAACACAGCAGCTGTGAAAATGTTACTCTAGATTTATGTCTCAGGGTCAGATGTGATGATGTCTTTCTCCTAGATTAAAGTCACCATTGCGGGTCTGGCTGGGAAGGACCCAGTGCAGTGTAGCCGAGATGTTCTCATTTGTCCGGATGCCAGTCTGGAAGATGCAAAAAAAGAGGTTTGTTCCCTGTACCTGGAATTGCTCCTTCCTGTGACTGTCCGTTTCTTGCACTGTCTTTTGATTATGTCTGAGGCTGTGAGCACCGACTTATTTTAAGAAAGTTACTTTGTGTGGAAGTCTTCCCCACTGTAATAAGCCCTGGGACATCGAGGGCACTGCCGTTTTTTATCTATGAGACCTGGCGGCTCGCTGTCGCGTGCACTGGCTGTGCGGTGGGACGTTTTCCTCAGGGCTCTTCTGGCCTCGCAGTTTAGCCTCCTGTCGTAACGTTGTACCCGATGGAAAGAATCAACTGTCACATTTCCTGTCCGTTTCTTTTTTTTTTTTTTTAAGTTTAATATTTAACATTTTAAAAAAATGTTTATTTTTGAGAGAGAGATGGAGTGTCAGCAGGGGAGGGGCAGAGAGAGAGGGAGACACAGAATCCGAAGCAGGCTCCAGGCTCTGAGCTGTCAGCACAGAGCCTGACATGCAGCTCGAACCCATGAACCGTGAAGTTGTGACTTGAGCCGAAGTCAGATGTCCAGCCGACTGAGCCACCCAGGCGCCCCTCATTTCTTGTTTTTTATTCGATAGCTGCTTTTAGCCTTTCCTTTTTCAGTGTCCCAGACATAGTTATGTGATTCATTTTATGTGGATCAGCTCATTGTTGATTTGTGGTGGGATTACGGGAGCAGTAAGAATCCTTGTTAATCGTGCCACATTATCTGACGGTTGCCTTCGACAGCCGCTGACACTGGGGAATCTGTCTGGAGCTGTAGTCCCTTTCCGCAGACGCGAGCTAACCCACACCTGCATAGACCCTTTCGCACACCCTTTCATGTAGTTCGTTGCTTAGTGGCCAGTGTGATTGGGGTGTAGGCTCTGTGCTCTTGGGGCATAGATGTTCCAGAAAAAGAAGTGGAGATGGCTCGTGGACGGCCACTTGCGCCCTGCTGAGGACCCCAGAGCACAATTCCTAGGCTCAGACGCACAGAGCGTTTATTCCTTTCTAATAAATTCACGTATTTCAGTGCCAGATTGTGGGGTATAGGAATGTTGGTATTTACATAAAAACTGTTGAAACGTCTTAAGTGGCATGTTGCAAGTGGCCGAATAGAAGTACATACTCGCTCTTCTCTGGTCTTTTTCATCTCGTGGAGTCTGGGTATTTTAGGACTGTGGTTACCTTTTGCGTCTGTTGATTTAGATTCTAAAAGGAGTGGAAGAAATTCTGCGCTTCACACACTTTGTTTAGTTGGTAGTTCCGCCTGGTTTGAAAACAGCAGCAGAACGTTCATGGTTGTGAAAAGTAATCCTAAGTAGTGTGTGTTGCACTAAGTAGGTACTAAATTTCCACTTTATAAATTGCTAATGGCCAAATTTTTAAGTATCTTTTTAACGTCTTAAAGTATTGTGCACCAAGTTCTCTTTCACGAGTGGAATCAAGTTTGGAATCTGCCAATTCGGTGTATGGGATGCTAAAGGCCTGTATCATTATTCTCCCCTAAGTTCCATCTTTCATAGAACGAAAACCTTTTTCTGTGTCTTTTACCTACAGTTGTTCCTTTAATTATTTTTATCACCGGGTGCATTCGTGTTGGAAAGATAACCCCTAGGCAGTGCGTACCTAGAGAGTCAGTGTTAAAGGTCCCCGTTCTGACGGCCGTCTCCCCGCCATCCCACACCACACCCCCTTAGCAGCTGGGCTGTCCTGTCTGTGGGTACCGTGGACCCCGTGTGTGTCAGGGACACACACACATCTACATTTTTTAAGTAAGTTCTGTGCGAAACATGGGGCCTGAACTCAGAACCCCGAGATCAAGAGTCTCTTGCTCCACCAACTGAGCCAGCCAGGCGCCCCCTTTTTCCCCCTCCTTTTTTACAAGAACGAGATCTTCCTACCCCTGTCCCCCAGCAGCACGGATGTCCCTTCCTGTTACTATAGTCAGAGTTTTTGCCCGTTACCACAGCGTTCCGTCATAGACGTACCGTGATTGACTGAGCTGTGCTTCTGTGAACGGTGTTCTGCTGTGACCCACATTTAAGATAGGAAAACGTTTTTGGACTGTGGCTTTGGTGCGCGTCTCAGATGAAACGTTTTTCCCTTTTCTGTTTTGTTTCTGAACTACAGGGCCCCTACGACGTGGTGGTTCTGCCGGGAGGTAACCTGGGCGCACAGAACTTATCTGAGGTAAAAACCGTGTGAGGGAGGCACTTCAGCCTCTGCCCGTGTTCTGCCGGTTTTTTGCTCGTCACATCTCTCAGGACGGAGGCTGGGAGTGAACTGGGAACAGGGGAGGTGGGCAGAATGGTGTTCTAGCTTCTCAGGGGAAACACCTCTGGTGACATTTAAAATGAACCTAGTTTTGTGTCTCACGGAGGTTTAGGCATCGGAAGATGGGAGCCTGCTGGCTGCTCGGCACCGGGGCGCGGGCGGGGGGCGCGGGCGGGGGCTGCGAGCTGGGGGGGAGGTGGCGGCGGCGAGGCCCCTGCTTCTTCATCGAAGCCTCTTCCTCTTCCGTGAGAGGCCGCCTGCCCGAAGGGAGGGGGAGGGAGGGGCGAGAGACTGAAGCGCGCAAGGCAGGTGGAGTCAGACATTTGGGACCCGCTGGGCCCCGTCCCCGGCTCTGCCGTCGGGGAACACGCCGGATGCCGCGTGCCCGCCCTGCTGCTCTCTCCCGGGGGCGCCGAGCGGCAGGGGTCCGTGCGCCCGAGGGAGACGGCTTTTCTCGTCCCGTCTTTAAACACCTTTAAGAAAAGGATGCCCTTCCCTCGTAACGGATGCCTTGACCGGGTTTAGCAGTGTACAAACAGTATGAATTTGAGAATTTTTCTGTTACTGGTTTAGAAATATTATTAGAAAGTTGATTGAAAATCTTGCGTTTTACACTAAGAGCGGGTTCTCTCAGTGTCCGGCGGGCCATTGGCGGCGGCTTAGTGACAACCTGACGTGTCTGGGTTTTCTTTGCACAGTCCGCTGCCGTGAAAGAGATCCTGAAGGAGCAAGAGAAGAGGAAGGGCCTCATCGCCGCCATCTGTGCAGGTAGCGTGCGGTTCGTTTCTCCCCGAACTCCGTGGCAGGCTCATCTTTGATTGTAAGATTTTGCTGCACAGACTTCTTTCCCTTCACAACGCGCGCGGGGCCTCTGCACGGGCACACTTAGTTTGCGCGGCATGAGGTCCGTGTCGCTTCCGAAGCGAGTACAGTTCTCTTTCCTGCTTCTCTGCACTTTTTTGTCTGCGTTCTGTGAAACTTCGTGTTCTCTTTGGTTGACCTCTGAGGAAAGTAACGCCCTCTGGAACTCAGCACGCAGCTGGTTGCGGCAGATCTCTGTGCCAGCCAGTAGGGCTGCCAGCACCCGCTCAGCGAGACTCGGTCAGCCGGAAACACGACGGCCCCGTCCCGTGTCTGCCCTGCCGATCCTGGGGCCGCGGTGCTTTCCGCCTGGCCCTCGTGTGGAGCGGTCTCCGGCACTGTGCGGTCTGTCACGTCAGTTAGAGGACGGTCGTCAGTGCTTCCTGGATGTCCCCACATCTTTGAAAACCAGTAATACTTTGTTTTCTGGAAGCGCCATGACATCCATTCTTAACGCTCTGGTAGCAGGATATCCTGCCACCTTGCATTTTTCCAGAGCGTAGTTCTTGGACCCAGGCCTTTATGAAACGTTTGTCACGAGAGCGAGTAAATCAATGACTGGATGGGTGGTTTGATAAAACGACACCGTGTTGTGCGCAGCACAGTGGGCCCATTAAAGAAGTTGTAAGTCGGGGACCCTGGGGACTTTGCAGTACAACAGAGCTTCCTAGAGCTCTTTCAGAGGCATCATAAGGTGAAAGCAGATACTGATGTTATTTGCCCTTTTCCTTCTTGTGCTCGGGAGAGTGTGACGATGCCACCGTCGGGGCGTGGCATGTGTGCTCAACGCGTTCTTGTGTCATAAAAATGTCCCGGTTTTTCATTTCTGACCCGGCAGTTACAGAGAGCTGTAACTCATGTAAAAGGAGGGTCCCAAGACCCGAATGTTCAAGGACCGCTGCATCGGAGCCTGGGAGGGACCGCGGAGGTGACCACCCGGGGGGACTGTCCTTGGGTTCCAGTCCACACCAGCCCCTTGACCCGCCCTCGGGGCCCGGGTCTGTCCTCGCGGGAGGACCCTGCTGCCCACGCACATGCCTCTCTCTGGGTGCGAGACCCAGGTCCTCTTCGATGGGCGAGGCCTTGGTGCGGTCGCTCTCAGCCCCTGGCCGCGGCCTCACTCGTGGGTTCTCTGACCCAAGGAAGGGTTTGGGCTGGATTCGTTCCCTTCTGAGTCTGCTGAAAGGAAGAGCCACGTGTCGGTTTGTCCCTGAGGTGGCCGGAGGGTTGGCCACATCTGGTTCCCGGTTTCATGCTCAGGCAGCTCGAACGCCGTGCGAAGGAGCTGAGGCTTGAGAATTATTAAATCTCTGTTAGACATAAACAGCGCTGACATGGTGTTTGTGTTGTTGACTGGCCCACTGCCCGCCCTGCTGGTGCCGCAGGAAGTAGGAAGTGTGGAGAGAAATAGGTGGTTCTGAAGTGTCGCAGTTAGGGACTGGGGCTTGGCCCCGAGTGCTGAGTGCTTGAGACAAACTGGAGGGCGGACGGGATAAGAAAGTGAAATGAGATTCACTTGGGGTCTGGAGGGAAAGGAGCCTGGAGGTTGTTCTAGGTACGGCTCCAGGGCGGGGAGGAGCTGGGGTGACCCGGGTGCTGTCTGTGTGAGTCACCACACGGTGGCGCTGTTGGCTGTAGTGTCGTGGCCGCCCAGGGGCTCCCCTGTGGTGCCCTCTGCTCAGAGCCCAGAGCTGGTCCCCTGCACACACGCGGCAGTAGTTTCATCTGCCGACATTTCAAGTAACGGTAGTTCAATATTTCTTCTCGAATTCTCCAGGTAGGATTCTTAAGCTCCAGAAAGCAATAATTATGGGCTTATCAGGGTGAGTAAGCCATCACTCAAGTCCTACGTTCAACCGAAACGTGAATTTATTAACAGTACTGTAGGCAGCAGTTTCATCAGCAGAAGGGAGCAGCCTAAAGATTCTAACTCACCGTATGATCGTTCTCCTCACCGTACAGTCACCTCTGGAGGTTTGCTTTCAGAAAATACAAGGTCACGTAGGTAGTTATTTGTCTCTTCACATCTTACAAAGTAAGAGTTAAGGGTCATTGATGAGTCCATTAGCATAAAAATTGAGTGATAATTCAGTCTTTACAGACTTAAAATATGCTACCATACATAGCTATCTGGTACATAAGATAAAAATACGGTGCAGACAGACATCAGATCTATTTGAGAACTTTGATTTAGGAGATAGAAATTGGGACTGGCCTGATGGCAGGTGGAAAGCTTATGTAATTACATATTATTTGTCGATCTTCCTTTGGGCAGCCGACACGTGTAGTCTGTAGCTCCCTTTTCCTGGGAAGTGTGTTGGAAAGTGAAAGGTCAGTGAGAGCAGGTGAGTGGGTGGCTGAGGCTGAAGCACTCTGGCTCCGTCCTTGGGTCCCAGCCTCAGCTTTGGGTCCTAACCTATTTTTTTTTTTTTTTAATGTTTATTTTTGAAAGAGAGAAAGGGAGAGACGGAGTGCAAACAAGGGAGGGGCAAAGAGAGGGAGACACAGAATCTGAAGCAGGCTCCTGGCTCTGAGCTGTCAGCACAGAGCCCAGTGCGGGGCTCAAATCCACAAGCTACCAAGTCATGACCTGAGCCGAAGTCAGAAGCTCAACCAACTGAGCCACCTAGTTGCCCCTTTTTAAAAATTTTTTCAGGGGCGCCTGGGTGGCTTAGTTGGTTAAGCGTCTGACTTTCGCTTAGGTCATGATCTCGCGGTTCGTGGGTTCGAGCCCGGTGTCGGGCTCTGTGCTGACTGCCAGCTCAGAGCCTGGAGCCTGTTTCAGAGTCTGTGTCTCCCTCTCTCTCTGACTCTCCCCTGCTCACACTGTGTCTCTCTCTCTCTCTCTCCTAGAAATAAATAAAAATATTAAAAAAAAAAAATTTTTTAATGTTTATTTTTGAGAGAGAGAGAGAGAGAGAACGAAACAGAGCGTGAGCATGAGAGAGAGACATAGAATTCCAAGCAGGCTCCAGGCACAGAGCCCACCATGGGGCTGGAACTCACAAATCATGAGATCATGACCTGAGCTGAAGTCAAAAGCTTAAAACAACTGAGCCACCCAGGTGACCCATATATTTTGTTTATTTTTTGAGAGACGGCGTGAGCAGTGGAGGGTCAGAGAGAGAGAGAGACAGAGAATTAGAAGCAGGCCTCAGGCTCTGAGCTGTCAGCACAGAGCCTGGCGTGGGGCTTGAATCCATGAACCGTGAGATCATGACCTGAGCTGAAGTCGGACGCTCAACCGATTGAGCCCCCAGGTGCCCCACGTCCTAACCTGTTTTGAGGGTCTCATTGCTGTTCTGAAGCATGTGTTTCTAGGTGTGACAGGCTTAGAGAAAAAGGTAGAATACTTTTTTTTTTTTTTTTTAAGTTTCAAGGTAAGCTAAGAAAGTCCTAAAGTGTTTTTGTTTTAGTCCTTATCTGAGGAACGTTACAGCCAAAATATGGTAGTGATTCTCAGTGAAATTACCATTTTCAATGAATACTTTTGGAGCAAAAATCTCACGTTAGCAACTGCATATCTTAGAGGATCAGAAACGGACACTGGTGCATGGGCTTCGGTGGTCACCAGTAAAGAAGTGCCAGCGCCCCGGCATGTCAGAGTTCTGGGCGTTTCACAGGCATAGTGTCTTCAGGGCTGGACAGTGTCCTGGTCACTGGGACAGCCCCACCACCTGGGGTGCTCGGATGGATAGACGGATGAGTGAGCGCTCCGTTTTCATTTTCAAGTAGAAAACCAGAATGAGTCTGGAAATAGTGGTCAAGGCCAGAAGTTTGGAGCGCAGCAGCTGCCTTTAACGTGTGACAGAAGCTATCACGTGCTAAGAGTCAGGCCTTGGTGGTCTCTGTCCTTGTCCCCCCACACACCTGCCTGCAGGGACCCCACTCTGTTTATCTGGAGGCGGCTCCATATCGTTTGATTAACTGGTTATCGAAGTATTTTGAGTTTGTACACTTTTGCCACATGCGCTCAGCACATGGTTTATGGTACACACTCCGCACCTATCATACTAAAAAGTGTTTACTTTTAGAATCATCAGGATGTTTTAGGTAAGAGCCTCCTGGATTTGAAAAATATTTCCGTTGCGTTTTTAAACCATTAGGTTTTTTATGTCCATACTTAAGTCTTTTTATTAATCTTCTCAGGTCCGACGGCTCTTTTGGCTCATGAAATAGGTTTTGGAAGCAAAGTTACGACACACCCGCTTGCTAAAGACAAAATGATGAATGGGAGTAAGTATATGCTTGTATTTTATTAATTAAAAAAATTTTTTTTTAAGTTTATTTTGAGAAAGAGAGAGAGTAAGCAGGAGAGGGCAGAGACAAGAGAGAGAATCCCAGGCAGGCTTCACACCAGCAGTGTAGAGCCTGACACGGGGCTCGAACCCATGAATTGTGAGATCGTGGCCTGAGTCAAACACTTAACCGACTGAGCCACCCAGGCACTGCTGTGCTTTTTTTTTTTTTTTTTTAATTTTTTTTTTATAGTTTATTTGTGGGACAGAGAGACAGAACATGAGCGAGGGAGGGGCAGAGAGAGGGAGACATAGAATCTGAAACAGGCTCCAGGCTCTGAGCTGCCAGCACAGAACCTGATGCGGGCCTCGAACCCACGAACCGCGAGATCATGACCTGAACCGAAGTCGGGCGCTTAACTGACTGAGCCACCCAGGCGCCACCCAGCTGCCCCTTGTGCTTGTTTTAACATATGAAAAGACCTTCTCAGAAAGCTGTGCTTTAGCTTTGTGTCCCACCTGGTAACCTTACGCAGCAACTCCCTGTGGTTCGAGGTGCGGTGTGTTCCTCAGTTTCTTCGCCAGTGTTGCGGCTGGAGGGGGAGCGGACGGTGGGGAGGAGGTGGTGCACACCCGTCTCTGGGCATGGTGGCTGGGCTCAGGGGCCAGTAAGCAAAGGCCAGCCCGAGAGTGATTGTCCCAGATGAGAGTGATTTCAGAAAATGCCCCTTTGCCCACAGTCCAGAGCAAAGTGAGTATCGCTCTCTCCCTGGGTGGTGGATCTGTTACCTTGGGTGACAAGTTTCTTTCATAAGTACCAGTTGGACTGTTAACTTTTACTAATTTATTTTTCTAAAAATTTCTATTCGTGGTAAAAAGTGCAAACAGTGCAAAAGGGGTTGAAGTGAAAACATAAATATGCCTTTTCTCTTCCATCCTCACCCCCTTTCTAATTTTCAGAGTAGCTTCTGTTAGAAAGTTTCTTGTGTAACTAGAAATTTCTCCGTACATAACTCCTTATCTTTTGTAGTTTAGTAATTTTATTCAAATGAAGTCCGCTAAATATGTTGTTTTGCAACTTTTTTTTTTTCTTTTTGAGAGCAGATGGGGATGGGTGGGAGAGAGAATCTTAAGCAGGCTCCACACTTAGCTTGGAGCCTGATGCTGGGCTCCATCCCATGACCTTGAGATCACAGCCTGAGCAGAAATCAAATGTTGGATGCTCAACTGACTGACCCCCCCAGGCACCCCTGCAGCTTGCTTTTTCAACCCAAAATTATGTCCTTTTTTGGGTGGAGGAGAGGAAGCTACCATGTATTTCTTTAACGCCTTATGTGACCAGTTATTCGGAGGCTGTAAAAGAAGCCCGCCATTGGGGTGCCTGGGTGGCTCCGTCTTTAAACGCATCACTCTTTTCTGGGTACAATTTGTTAAACATAGGACTCTTGATCTCAGCTCAGGTCCTGAGTTCATGGTTCATGAGTTTGAGCCCTGGATCGGGCCCTGCCACGATCTGTGCCCTCCAGGAGTGAACAGCTCACAGACACAGGACACACACATCAAATTTAACCCTAGAAAGCCGTGTACAGTTAGGCGTACCCACCCAGGCATGTGGACGTAAACCTGTAAATGATGCTCCCTCAGTAACAGCCCCTGCTTCTCAGCTGACGTTCATAACACCAGCCAGGTAGCACCTCCCCCTACCACCTGTCCCCAGAGTGCGTGCACCAAAGAGACAGGGACCCTGGAACTTGCAGAGAGAAAGAGAACTTCACACTAGTGCGGGTCATGGCAGGAGCGTCTGAAATTTCCAGTTAGAAGCCAGAAGTGGTTCGGCTGGCACTGAGCCCGCAGGAATACCGAGAGGCTGGCTCTGTGTTCAACATCGCCAACCGGACATCAGTGAATAAACCAGAGGACAGAACATTAATAGTGGCAGATGATTTGAAAACAGGCATGTCAGGGATAGATTTTGTCCCGGGTCTCCGCCCCGCTCGAGGCTCGTCCTGAACCCCACACAGAGGAGTCTGGTAACGTCCCTTCCATCATCTTCTCACAGCTAGTTCGGGTGGCGCGTTTTTCCCATGTTGCTTTTTCTCTTAATGAAGAGATGGTGCTTTTTAGAGCAGCGTTAGGCTCACCCAAAACGCAGCGGGACGTGCAGGCCTCCCCACCCTGTCTGCGCACGCGCAGTCTCCCTGCGCCGAAGAGGTGCCTTTGTCACAGTAAATCTCCACGGACACGGCGTCACCGCCTCGAATCCATCATTCACATTAGGGTTCGCTCTTGGTGTCGGACATTCAGAATATTCTCAAAGTCAGTCCAAGGTAGTATGTTCTTAAATACCTATCGCTTTATTGGAGCTGCTGGAAAGATACTAAGTTGTCAATAAAACCGTATGTGTGAAAAGTGGGTGGTTTTTTTTCACACGAGGCTCTGGCTGCTGGGCATTTTTTAAGGTAGGAATATAATGTACTCGGGCTGATGGAGAGGTTGTGGAGAGTCAGAAAGATCGGAATCAGGTTTTCTTTAGTGGTTGCAACATGTTGGGGGGAAATGCCCAGTAGCCACGTTCCTCCTTTATCTGAAGGTGGATCTGTTGTGTGTGCTTCCCTGCTGGGCCTCGAGAACGCGGGGCTGGACCAGGAACAGATCGGATGGGTAACTGTCGGCGTTTGTCAGGGACACGCGCAGACATCGCCTGCCGGAGCCTCCCGGGCCCCGGTGCCCAGCAAGGCGGGTACTGGCTTCCCAGAAGAGGAGACCGGCCCCAGCAGGCCAGGCCACTTGCCCAGCGTCAGGCTGGAGCTCAGGCCCTCCTCTGTCCCTCCTCGGGCCCTCCCGCCCCACTCCGTTATGAGGCACCGGGTTCAGCCAGGAAGTCCTTCTACGGGGAGAAAGTGTTAGAAATGTCTGTCCTCTCAGAGCGTCTGAGAAGCGAGGCTGTACTCCTCTCCTGGGTGTCTCTGGTCCTTCTCCCCGTCCCCTCCTCTCCGTCCCCTCGTCCCCATCCCCTCCCCCCATCCCCTCCCCCCTGTCCCCTCCTCCTCCTCAGCATGTGGTGAGCAGGTGCAGGTCAGTGTGAAAATTTTGCTCACATAAGCACTCTGGTCCGAAGGACATGGTCTTCCCTTTTCTCAGTTTTTAAATGAAGAATGGTTACTTTAATAGTCTTTTTAGTTCCTCTGTCTGTTCTCAAAAGCACCTGAAGACCCCCGTCACATAGGTGAGCAGTAAAGCGCCTCATCCCGGGGGCTGGCCGGTGGCGGGGGTGGGGGAGAGAGGAGGGCGCGCGCCTGGCTGCGGGTGGGCTCCTTCCCCCACCCAGCCTCAGTTTCCATCCTGACACCTAAGGATGTCACTGGCCCCTGCCTCACAGGGTCGTTGACAGGCCCGAGCTGGTGTGTGTGATGCACCCGGGACGTTGCCTGGCGTGAGCCCAGCTCTGGGCTGAGCGCGGGGAACACGGCCGTGAACGGGCCGCCCCTGCCCCAGAGGAGGAGTGCGTCCGTCGTGAGTCTGTTGTGATGACGCCGCCACTCGGGCCAGGCGTTCCATTCTGCCCGACTCCCATGGCAGTCTGCAGGGCTGGTGTCATCCCCATTTTATAGAAGAGAAAAGCAAGGCTTAGACTGGACAGCTACTAAATGGCAGGCCTGGAATTTGAACCCAGAGCTGCTGTTCCCAGGAGTAGGTGACTTGTCTTAACGGGTTAAGATAGTGACTGTCTCGTGCTCTCGGGGACTTTGGGTCTCTGGCAACTGCCCTGTTGTAAGAGCCACTGACCAAACAGGAGGTGTGTGCGTGTAAAAGCCGCCGGTAGGTGCTGAGCCCTCGCATCCAGCCTCCCGGCTGTTGCTGCTGCTCTGAAGAGACTGCCTGGCTGTGGGGTGTTTGGTTACAGTAAAAAAGAAGTCAGTAACCAGTGCTTCCTGCCAGCGGACCGTGGCGGGTGGATTTGCGGAGTTCCGAGGCGAGTGGCACCTGCCTCGCTGGCCCTGGGGCGCGCGGTGCCCTTGTCCAGCGTCACCACTAGGTGGGGGTGGTGGGCGGTGCAGACCTTCTGCTCTTCGGGTCGGAACCCTGAAAAGAGCCCTGGGACCTTGAATGCCTGTAACCGGTGCGAGCTGTGGTTGTAATACTTTACCCACGAGGAGAGCGTGCAGGGAGCCATTTAGAGATGGCCTCCCCAGCCCCGGTCCAGGCCGTCACATCACCACTCCCGCAGGCGGGACTGGCCGGGTTCTGGTCGGGCACCCGGGGAGGTCTTGGCCCGGTTCAGCCATCAGTTAGTCAGGTTAGGTCGCCACTGGAGGGAGACCCTCTTCCACCGCAGTGTAACTAGGAGCGTTTTCTTTTAATGCTTGTTTAGTTTTGAGAGCGAGCGAGCAGGGGAGGGGCAGGGAGAGAGGGAGACAGAGGATCTAAAACAGGCCCTGCACTGTCAGCACCGAGCACGGGCTTGAACCCACAGACCTGAGGTCATAACCTGAGCCGAAGTCCAATGCTCCACCGACTGAGCCACTAGGAAAATTTTCATGTTCTGTGTTCAGTTATTTCAGTGGGTGACTTGATTTTTTTTTTTTTTTTAATGTTTATTTTTGAAAGAGAGCGAGCAAGGGCGGGGCAGAGAAGGGGGGTACAGAGGAGCCCAAGCAGGCTCTGCATGGTCAGCACGAACGGTGAGATCATGACCTGAGCCAGAGTCGGACGGTCAACCCCCTGGGCGCCCCTCGGGTGACGATTCCTGACGATGGGGGGGCCTAGTCTCCTGAAGGTCTCTGCCACCCACAAAGGACGGGAATGTTCTCGCGTAGTTTCTTTTTTTAAATTTTTTTTTTTTAATGTTTTATTTATTTCTAGGAGAGAGAGAGACAGCGTGAGAAGGGGAGGGTCAGAGAGAGAGGGAGTCACAGACTGAAACAGGCTCCAGGCTCTGAGCTGGCAGTCAGCACGGAGCCCGACGCGGGGCTCGAACCCACGAACCGCGAGATCATGTCCTAAGCGAAAGTCGGACGCTTAACCGACTAAGCCACCCAGGCGCCCCTTCTCGCGTGGTTTCTAAAGCTCGTGAATACGGCAGGAGCAGATCGCTTCTGCTTTAAGGGGCCCGTAAGATCAGGTGCCCTTTTTCCGTCCGTATCTGTTGAACAAGCATCTCCTGGCTTCCTCCGGCTCCGGGGGCAGAAGGGAACGAGCTGAGCTGTGCTTGCTGGGGGAGCCTGGCGGCGCAGGCTCTGAGTTCTCCAGTAGGGGGAGGGCAGGGGCAGCGCAGGGGCAGCGCAGGGGCAGAGGTGGCTGCCGCAGGGGAACTTTGTGGGCTTCCCCCCCCCCCCTGTCCCGTGTGTGCTTTGTGTCCTTGATCTCTGTGTGGTGCCAGCACCCGCCCAGCCGTAGGACAGACAGCTGGGCGCCCTCGTCACCGCCTCCCTGCGTTCAGTCCTGCACGGAGTTCGGGGCATTTGGTCTCTCCGTGATTTCTCACACTTCATTCCCTCCCCGTCACCCCGGCCCCCACCCGGGTCACAGTAACTCCCACCTGGATGGCATGTGCTTTTCCTTCTCCCCGTGGTTCCTCCCAGTCCAGTCGGTGTGGCTCGGACCCAGGGGGCGCGCCCGTGAGCTGCGGAGCGGAGCCCCCCTTAGTGCGGGGGGAGGTGGCGAAAGCCCCCCCGGGGGCAGAACCTGACGAGCTCCGGTGTGCTCTTTGGAAAGGTGACTCTTCGTGGCGCTGAGCAGAGTGGAGGGAGGGGCAGGCGGAAGGCAGGGCCGGAACGCGGAGGTGCTGCGTGGCCCGGGACGTTCATCCGCCGCCCGGTGCCTGGGAGCCCCTCGTGGTCCCGTTCGCGTTTGAGGCCACGCAGGGCAGGTGAGGGCCCAGCCGGTACCCGCGGAGACAGACTGCCCTCACGTCCCGGCCCCGTCGGCTCTGTCAGGCCGCCACCACTGCCTCCTGTGAGGGGCGCTGCGGGTGGTGGGGACAGCTTTCTGGGCAGCGGGTGCCGGCGCTCCTGAGGACGTAGCGCCGGTGGCCGTGCACCGGGAGGGTTTAGGGCCGTGTGTGCGGGGGGGAAAGCCTTAGGGAGCCGGCGCTGCAGTGCCAGCGTTGTGGCCGTGATTTGCCCACGTGTCTTGTCATTCACTGAATTTGGATACAGGAGAAGCACATGCTTGTTTTACTGTATTTCCCCCCAGACGCCAGTTGGGGACACAGAAGGAAGGCGGTTCCTGAGAAGTGGATGTTGTTTCTCCCTCCGCACATCTCCCCTCCCTGTGTGTCCTGTGTGTGTTTCGCTAGTTTGTTTTTGAGACACAGTGTGTGCGTGATGCAGGCAGTCCGTGGGCCGGAGTCCGTGTGACCGACAGGCTGTAGGGAAAGGAGATTAGAGACGGGGCCTCTCAGGAGGGAATGAATGATTTTCAGGAAAGACGAAGGGGCCCTTGGGAAAGTAGATGGGAAGTGTGATCGTTTGTGACAGTCTGTCTGGTGTCCCCTCCTGGGACAAGAGGCCATCTTCCCTGGCTGATGGACTCCAGGAGGGGGCACGACGGCTGAGGTCCTTCAGGAGGACCTGTCTTCATGCAGGGGCGGGGCGGGGCGGGGGGGTGTCAGAGAAAGCCTCTCCCTGCGGTTGCCATTTGTCCAGTGCCTTCAGCCCCAAAGAGTCACAGCAGCCCATTTCGGGGTGGCCCATTCTGCTTCCCTTCAGTGTCCAGGGTGGAGCCTTGAGCATCTGTTGATGACAGAGGTGAACGATTGGCCTTCCCTCCCCGCCCCCCTCACGCTTACGGAGCCTCTGCAACCGCATTTAACTCCGGTGTCCTGCTTTGTTCCGTTTCACCGGCCGTTAGCGCCTCTCCCCCCCACCGCACATGTTGTAATACCTCCGGTAATATCTCCGCGCTGTGCCCGCACCAGCTTGGCTGCCTCCTCGATTTCCAGCCCTTGGCTACCGTTGTTGTGGGTTTTGGTTTTGGGTTTTTTTTTTAAAAGTGTAGGTGAGACAACCTTCTGTGGTAACAGGGACTTGAGTCGCAGGGCACGGTGACAGTGTTGCCCAGCGGAGCCCATGAGGACGTAACCCTCTGCTCTTCTTATCCGGAAGGTCATTACAGCTACTCCGAGAGCCGCGTGGAGAAGGACGGCCTGATCCTCACGAGCCGCGGGCCTGGAACCAGCTTCGAGTTTGCTCTCGCGATCGTCGAGGCGCTGAGCGGCAAGGACGTGGCCGACCAAGTGAGGGCCCCGCTCGTGCTCAAGGATTAGAGCGGGCGCCTTCGAGAGTGAGCTAGAGAAACAGGCCGTCTGCAGCCATTCTCCCCGCGCTCACTCTAAGCAGAGGGAGCCGTCAGCGTGCAGAGGAGCCTGGTCCCTGCCCGCGACGCCTGCGCTCGCGTCCCCCCCACCCCAACCTTGACTGTCGATAGATGGCATTTAGCGAACTACTGATTGTTTGCATTTATGTCTGGTTTCCCCTTTGTTGTTTGTGAAATCAACTCCTTGTGAGCCTCACTCACGGCTGTTAGCTGTTGATGCAGCCACTGAGGTGAACGAATAGTGACCGCGTTTGTGACAGCAAGAAGGCAAAGGATGAAAGCCAAGATTTAAGAGGCTGTGATTTCCTCCCATTTGTTAATTGCGTATCATTAATGTGCTATTAAAAGATACCCCCGAAGTCGGCTGTAGTAGTGAATTTCTGCAGACTGCCTCCTTTTGACGTGGCAGAAGGGGTCCTCAGACGAAGTGAGAACCTTCCAAGGCTGGTGCAGCCTCCGTCTTCCCTTCCTCCGGTGATGACAGCAGGGGCCCTGGGCCCCGTGGGCTCCCCGCCCCCCCCCCCCCCCCCGCCCCGCTCACCCGCGCTGCTCCCTGCTGAGAAGGCCGGGGACGGGGACCTTCCTCTGCCCGCCCGCCCTTCTGCCTGTGATGGGAAAAGGCCCCGGGCCCCTGGGGCCCCCTCCCCCCCCCCCCCCCCCGGGGCCTCAGCCGAGCCCGCTGGTGGCGTTCTCTCCGCCCAGCGGTCAGGAGGACGTGCAGGCAGCCCGGAGCCCCTGGTAGTCACCCTGTCCCCGAGGAGAGCCCCCCAGGAACGCAGGTCCAGCGGCCCCCGAGCAGGAACGACTCCCGGGCTGTTCGCAGGAGCCGGTGAGTGCTGCGGCGGCCGAGGAGGGGCCCGGGGCTCGGGCTGCTGCACCCAGAGCTGAGCCCCGAACAAGGAGCCTAGAGCCGCGCAGAGCCACACGGTGTCACCGCGGTGCCTTTGCTTTCTCCCTCCTGTTCCTTCCCCTCTCCTTCCTCTGGCAAAGAACAGATGTCAGCAAACCTTCGCCAGGGGCCAGCTGGTAACTATTTTAAACGTGCAGGTCGCAGAGCCCTCCTCACGACGACTCCGGCCCCGTGGCACCGAAACAGACAAAGGCACACTTTAGGCAGTGGTGGTGGTTGTGTCCACAGCTCCTAACTCCAGGCGGCCGTGCGGATCTGGCCCTCGGGCGGCAGCCTGCTGACCCTGGCTCGAGGAGACGGGCAGATAACTGTTAAATGCAGATCTGTAACTACGGCTGGAGAAACGGTGAGGCTGTAGAGACACTGCTAGGGAAGGGACGCAGGAGAGACTTCGTGTTCTGAGAAGGAAAGGAGGCTCAGGAGGCAGCGATGGGGCTGTCTTTTGCAGCCATGTTCCAGAAGCCCTCTCTGGAAGGGGACCTCGGAAAATCTGTGGAGACTTAGGTGTGCACGAGGCAGATCTGTTAGCATTCCAGGAAGGAGAAGCCGGATGTGCAAATGGCCTGAGGCAGGTGCACATGGGGTGTAGAGGGACAGCAAGGGGACCGGTTGAGGGGGATCTTGGAGGTGAGGCTGGGGAAGCAAGGCCTGGAACTGACTCAGGGAGCCGTGGAGGAGGGACCCAATCCTTCTTGGCTCAAAGGCCCTGAGCAGGCCTGCTGCAGGCCCCGGATGGGAGGCTCGAGGTACAGACATGGGAGGCAGTGGTGGGGAACCTGTTGGGGTGGGGTGGGAAGAGGCCTCTGGGACAGTTGCCACATCTTGAACACCAAGGTCAAATGGAGATTCTGTGGAGCCGGAGAGAGCGATTGGGGTTGGGTGGGGGGAACTGGGAGATCCGCGGGACGAATTGGGGAGGTCTGTAAAATACACTTTCACTAAGGGAAGAAAACTCAGAGGCCTGTCACTTTGAAAGTCACAAATTAGCGACCTGAAAATGTTACTAGTGAGTATTTGTGAACTCTCCTAAATTACCAGGGTTTTACCACCCGGCCCCCAGCTCCGAATAAACTCCCTGGAATTCTGCAGGGATCTAGAGGAAGGGAAACATTATCTGCATTTTTGTGTCCTTAGGGCAGCCAGAAAAGGTGGTTCTAGAATGGCCAGCAATGAAAAGAGCATTTCTGTGGGGAGCCCTTATCAGAGCTCAGGTGTCGTAGTGATGGGTTTTCCCCAGAAGGGGTTTGGGGGCAGGGACTGGGGGGGTTGGGCGCCTTATCTAAGCCTCGGGCCTCTTCTGGCCCGGGCAGGAATTACGGCTTCAGGCACATCGATGGCAGGTGAGAGCCCCCACCCTCCAGCTGCTCTCCTCCTTCCAGGAAGTAGGGAGGTGGCGGAGAGGTGGTGGGGGGTGGGGGGTGAGGTGGTTGGGAGGCAAACCAAACCTGGGAACCGAAGTTGGGGGGTGGGGAGGCTGGCTACATTTGCAAGTACCTGGAGTCAGAGGTGAGGAGTGTGGCCTGTCCAGCTTGACCGGATGGCCCTTCCCAGGCCTGGGGTCAGCAGAGGTCCAACTTGGCCCACTCAACCTCAACAACAGTAGCTGCAGCTTTGAGAGCTCCTGGGGTCTGCGCGGCTCTCCGGGACGGCGAGGGAGGACATGGGGTCCAGAAATCAAGCTTGACCCCGGAGCTCAATCCCCTTGAAAAAGGAGAAAGTTCCCGGGCGGGACGCAGCCCAGCGCTGGGCGGGAGGCGGCCGGGCTCCGGTCCTGGGGCCCGTCTAGGGAAGCGGCGGCCACCCTGCCCCTCTGAAGTGGGAGTTGGTACCTGTCTTCCCATGGGACTTAGGAAAGGCTTCCTTCTGTTCCCCACGTGCTGAATAGTAGGACATGGGAGGAACCACAGCTTATTGAGCACCTACTGTGTACCGATCCCTGAGCTGGGTGACTCGGGTCTTTCACACTTAATACAAAGGGGGTCTCACTGTATGTTGCACTGCTCTGCCCCTCGTCTTGACACAGTGTCACTGGGAGACCTTGTTTCCACAGCGTGGAGAGAGTCACATGCCGTGTCGTCCAGCCTGAGCCTTGCGGCCAGCAGCCTGTTACAAGGGGCTGAAGTTGTCACCCGTGATAAAAAGGAGAAAACCCTCGTCTCTTTGGAGGTCAGGAACCTGTCTGTCCTGGGCTGTGGGACTGTCAGAAGGCTCAGAGGCCACAATGAAAGGGAAGTGCATTTGGTTTTTTTTCTTTTAAAAATTTTTTTACATTTATTTATTTTTGAGAGAGACAGACAGAGCACAAATAGAGGAGAATCAGAGAGAGAGAGGGAGACACAGAATCCTAAACAGGCTCCAGGCTCTGAGCTGTCAGCACAGAACCCAACGCGGGGCTCAAACCCACGAACCGTGAGATCATGACCTGAGCCGAAGTCGGACGCTCAACCGGCTGAGCCCCCCAGGCGCCCCTGGGAAGTGCATTTCTTAGGCTGTAAAACACTCAATGTAAAGTATTGTTTTTAGTGTCGCCGACTGTCTCATCTCAGGGTCTGGTTATGTGCCCTCCATCCTAGGGCGTTGGTTCCCTAAGGAACGAGAACATGAAATTTACCTGCAGAATAATCTCAGCGTGTTTTGTTTTGTTTTGTTTTTAGGGAGTTCCCTGTCTTTGCCCTTAGTAAGGGGACCTGACAAGGTGACACCCGAGAGTCAGCAGCCCAAGTGTGTGTCATCACGCGGGAGGGACTGGCGGTGAGGTGTGCAGGCAGGGGCCACAGGAAATCCCGTTTGCATCTGGCCTGGACACGCCCTGTTCGCTCTGAGCGTGGGGTCCCCCTGGAGTGGGTCCATCTCCCCGATCCGGCTCTGGCCTGAGACCCCCGGGCCTGGGGCTCCTGTGAGACCCGGAGGGAGGCTTCCCTATGCTCCCGTATCACTATCACCTCCATCACCACCACCCTCTCGGCTTCCTGCAGCCTGAAGGGGCCATTTCAGGTTCCCAGACCAGTCCTGGGCCAGCGGCTCTGATTCTCAACCGCGATGACACCCCCCCACCTGGCCTCACAGCTCTGCCGCTTTATTTCGCCTTTTCCGTTCTGCGTGGGACCGTGTCCGCGGCTCTTCTCTTTTTAAAAAACATATTTTCTTTTTGACTTCAACCCGCTCCTGGAAATCTTTTCTTGGCTTCAAAATAATGTTCGAGGGGTGCCTGCCTGGCCCCAGTCGGTGGAGGGTGTGACTCTTAATCTAGGGGTTGTGAGTTTGAGCCCCACCTTGGGGGTAGAGATTACTTTAAAAAAAAAACAAAAAAAAACCCTCTCTCTCAAAAAAACAAACATGAAAAGAAGATTTCTTCATAATCTTAGAAAAATAAAACAAATACATGAGCCGAAAGAGGTGGGCATGCCACACACAGCATGCTTGGCTGAGGTCTCTTCTTTCAAAGGGAGAATAATTCCACAAAGTTTACTGAAGAGGAAGTTGTACTTTGTTTTTACGACTGGATGGAGTGTAGCCCGTGTCCGCCCTGAATCCCTCCGTCCTGAGGATTTGTCCCTCCAGCCTGGGCATGGCGCGCCCCGTGAGCCTCTGCGCCCTAACACGGTGGGCGGTCCATTTCACACAAAGCAGACCTGTATCCATTCGCACCGTTGAATGACCGGCCCCAGGGATGGAGGGTGGCAGCTTGTTAGGGATGACAGCTGAGAGGGGGGAGAGGGTGGTACAGAAGCCAGTGGTCCTGCCTCAGAGCCGGAGGCCATCCCTTTGGTTTTGCTTTAAGCTGTGAATCAATGCGAGAATAAACTGCAAGTTCACAGGCAGGAATGAGATCAGCTTCTTTTCTAACACCTGGTTAGGCTTCTACGTCCCTTATGCAGGAATGACAGCCACTCGGGGCGCCTGGGTGGCTTAGTCGGTTAAGCGTCCGACTTTCGCTCAGGTCATGATCTCGCGGTTCGTGGGTTCGAGCCCCGCGTCGGGCTCTGTGCTGACTGCCAGCTCAGAGCCTGGAGCCTGTTTCCGTCTGTGACTCCCTCTCTCTCTGACCCTCCCCTGCTCACACTGTCTCTCTCTCTCTCTCTCCTAGAAACAAATAAAAATATTAAAAAAAAAAAAAAAAAAAGAATGACAGCCACTCCGCGTACTTAGGGCAGAGTAAATTGTCTCCCGGCTGGGGATAATCCAATGTCATTAATCCATGAGGCATCTAGCTCAGTGCCACCTGGGTCTTAAAACACTTAAAAAAGTTGAATTATACAATGGATATGCCAATACCTGCTGTTGGAAAAGGCCCAGATGATACACGAATACACAAAGCAGGACCGGAAGTGCTCCGGCATGCCCTCCCTCACCCCAGCCCCCCTCTCCTTCCCCAAAGACCCGCTTTCGGGGTCTCTTATCCAGACGAGTTTCTATGAACCTACAAATGCATAATAAGACACACCCATACGCACACACAATATATTAGGTTGTACATACATAGATACACACATGTGAGCTTTAAAAATTATTTTGGAATAAACTGGGGCACCTGGATGGCTCAGTCGGTTAAGCTTTTGACTCTTCATTTAGGCTCAGGTCATGATCTCATGGTTTATGGGGTCGAGCCCCACATCGGGCTCTGCGCTGACAGCAAGGAGCCTGCTTGGGATTCTCTCTCCCCCCCTCTCTCTCTGTCCTTTCCCTGCTCATGCTCTCCCTCTCTCTCAAAATAAAATACATATATATACAGTTGCATGGCCTTAAGTACACTCACACTGTTGTGCAAACCACCATCACCATCCATTTCCAGAACTCTTTTTCACCCTGCAAAGCTGAAACTCTGTCCCCACTAAACAGTAATTCTCCATGCCCCCCGCCCCCAGCGCCTGGCCACTGCCGTTCTTCTTTGTGTCTCTATGAATTTGACTATTCTCGGTTCCTCACATGAGTGGAATCATACAGTATCTGTCTTTTGTGGAATCATACAGTATCTGTCTTTTGTGACTGCCTCATGTCATTTAGTTCAACATCCTCAAGGTTGATCCATGTTGTAGCACATGCCAGAACTTCCCTCTTGTTTTAAGTTTGAGTAATAGTCCGTGTGTGGATTGTCCTGGGTCTTGCTCATCTGTTCATCTGCCGATGGACACTCAGGTTGCTTCCACATTTTGGCCTCCGTGAATGATGCCGCCATCAACATGGGTCTGCAGATAACCTCTCTGAAAGCCTGTTTTCATTTGGGTAAATGCCCAGAAGTGGAATTTCTGGATCATATGCTAAATCCATTTCTAATTTTTGGGGGGACTGCAAAATTGTTTTCCACCAGGGCTGCACGTCTTTATATTTGCACACATCCCAGTACACAGCGTTCCGGTTTCTCTACATCTTCCCCAGCACTTATTCTTTGCTTCCCCCCCCCAAAAGATAGAGCATGGCGCCTGGCTGGCTCATTTGGAAAAGCATGTGACTCTTGATCTTGGGGTTGTGAGTTCAAGCTCCATGTTGGGTGTAGAGATTACTTAAAAATAAAATCGTGGGGTGCCTGGGGGGCTCAGTCGGTTAAGTGTCCGACTCTTGATTTTGGCTCAGGTCATGATCTCCTAGTTTGTGAGTTTGAGCCCCCGTCGGCCTCTGCGCTCACAATACAGAGCCTTCTTGGGATTCTCTCTCACTCCCTCACTTCTTTGAATTTGCAACTCAATATGACATTTCACCACGAAGTCACAAAAGCAATCCCTTTTTCTCAAAATAAATAAACTTAAAAATTTTTTTTAAATGAAAAAATAATTCACAAAAATAAAGAAAAAAGAAAGAAAAAAAGAAAATACTTTAGGGAACAAATTTGTGTGTACATCTTTGTGCAAGCATGAATATTTTTAGAGAGGTTTTTTTTTTAGGTCAAAAAGCAGGCACGCTGGTTTTAACAGATATGGCCCCACCGTTTTCCATTTTGCCTGCCTCCCCCCATGCTCACCAGTGCTGATTAGTAATCACCACTTCTTTCATTTAAACTCATATTTTTAATTTAAATTTAATTTTTAAATTTTAATTCCAGTATATTAACCTACAGTGTGACATTAGTTTCAGGTGCACGATATAGTCAGTCAGCAAGTCTACACGTTGCTGAGTGGTCATCGTGCTAAGTGCCTCTTCGTCCCGTTACCTGTTGCACTCAGCCTCCCCCGCAGTCTCCCCTCAAAACCGTCAGTTTGTTCTCTGTAGTTAAGAGTCTTTTTTTTTTTTTGGAGGGGGGTTTGTCTCTTTTTTTCTTTGATTCTTTAAAAAAAATTTTTTTTTAAATTTCTGAGAGAGAAAGAGGCAGAATGATCAGGGGAGGGGCAGAGAGAGAGGGAGACACAGAATCTGAAACAGGCTCCAGGCTCTGAGCTGTCAGCACAGAGGCCGACGCGGGGCTCGAACCCACGAACCGTGAGATCATGACCTGAGCCAAAGTTGGACGCTCAACCGACTGAGCCACCCAGGCGCCCCGATTCTTAAATACCTCATATCAGTGAAATCATATGGGATTTGTCTTTCTGTGACGAACTTCACTTAGCATTATAGCCTCCAGCTCCACCCAGGTTGTTGCAAATGGCGAGATTTCACTTTTTTATGGCTGAGTACTGCTCTGCTGGATATACGGGCCGCCTCTTCTTTATCTGTTCGTCTACTGATGGGCACGTGAGTTGCTTCCATATCCATCTTTTTATTTTAAAATATTTGTTGTGAAATAGCTTATATACAAAGATTGGATGAACTTACAGATGTGCAGTTTTAAGTGCGTGGCTGTTCACCTAGCACCCAAATTCAGAAAAGGAACCTTACCAGTGTTTTACTGGGTGATTCTTCCCTGTCATAACTCCAAACCTAATACCCAAAGGCAACCACTTCTGTGAATTCCCTGCATGAATATCCCCCAGTCCATCCATTTTACACTGATGAGCATTCAGGTCGCTTCCGACACGGTGCACGGGTCTCCTGACGCCCCTGTGCACGAGCTTCCCCAGGACAGACTCTGCGTGGACCACTCGTGTCGTGTGTGACTAGTTCTTAACTGCTTTTGTCCCGTGGACCCCTTCCGCACACTGGTGAAGCCTTTGCACCCCTTCTTAGACTAACATTTTTAAATTCATACAATACATAGGATTACAAAGAAAACCGACTGCACTGGAATATAGTTTTCAAAATATTAAAACAAATTTGTGATAAAATATATGCCCTTCTACTAATAAATGGTAATATTTAGTAATCAGTCTAATAACTACCCTAATTTTTTTAATGTTGATTTATATTTGAGAGAGAGAGAGACAGAGTATGAATGATCAGATTGGATCACCTGGAGACCCCGAGATAATGACCCGTTTCAAGGTCCGGAAACCTAATCATGTCTTCAGAGTCCCTTTTGCCATGAATGGTGATGTATAGGCCTTGGAGAGAAGGACAGGACATCTCTGGGGGACGGGCTGCAGGGGACGTTACTTGAGCTGATGTAGTTGGCCGGCTGGGTGTGAGGACCCGGAGCGAGTCCCACAAAGAACAGCCGCAGGGTCCCTGGTCTCGCACAGGATGAAAACCGATTGGGAGCCGAGAGGAAGTAAGAGCAGCGTTTATTGAAGACGGAGAGAGAGTGAAGATACGGACAGAGCATCTGGGAGACTGGAAAGAAAGAAGAGTGAGTCTCATCTTTGCTCAGGGCTTGCGGGTTTTATTGAGGATTGTAGTCTGGTGACGTGCCTTCTCCAGCATCCAGAACTGTTTAAAACAAAGCCCAGTGTTTAAGGGTCTCCCATAACCCCCGAGAGCCAGGGGTCTTGGTGAAACGTCTAGAAAACGTTCTCGACCACCCTGCCTGGTCACGCCTTGGATGTTAGCTGTTGTGCTGGAAGCCTACAAAGAAATCGCGAAGTCCTTGACTTCTATATGGAGGACACCATTATCTGGGCTGTAAGTGTGTGTAAGGTAGGGAGGGGCGCGAGTCCTAGCAAAATCAAGCAGGAAAAGGAGCAAACAAAGCAGTTTTCCATGGGGTTCCTTTAGTTTCCCTGTCTCATGGCTACCACAGTATTATTTATTAGGTTAAGGAAACATACTTTCACTCATTGCTAATTCTTTTTTATCATAAATAGTTGTTGAAATTTATCAAATGGCTGTCCTAAGTTTTTATCCTTTAATCTGTTGATGTGACGGATTATATTAGTACATTGCCTTTCTTTAAAAAATTTTTTTAATGTTTATTTATTTTTGAGAGGTAGGGAGGGGCAGAGAGAGAGGGAGACACAGACTCTGAAGCAGGCTCCAGGCTCTGAGCTGTCAGCACAGAGCCCGACATGGGGCTCAAACTCACGAACTGAGAGATCATGACCTGAGCCAAAGTCGAACACTCAATCAACGGAGCCACCCAGGCGCCTGTATTTATTTGAATGTTTAATGCAACTTGCCGCTGAATCTTTCAGGGCCTGCTGTTTTCCTTGTGGTGAGAGATTTTGTTTTAACTGAGCCCAAAATCAGCCATTTGAAAGCGTACAGTCCAGTGGCATTTAGAACATTCACGATGTTGTGCAACCACCACCTCTATCCAATTCCAAAACATTTCACGGCTCCCAGAGGATCGCGTCCTTCTCATTGGCAGTCCCTCCTTCCCCTTCCCCTACATCCCCGGAATCCTCTCCTCCACATTCTGTCTGTGCGGTTTACCTATTCTGGGTAGTTCATATAAATGGGGCTATGCTGTATGTGACCTTTGCGTCTGGCTTCCTTCGCTTAGCATAATGTTTCAAGGCTCGCCAACATCATAGCATGTGTTAGAATTTCACTGTCGGGGCGCCTGGGTGGCTCAGTTGGGTAAGCGTCCAACTTCAGCTCAGGTCATGATCTCGTGGTTCATGGGTTCGAGCCCCGTGTCGGGCTCCATGCTGACAGCCAGCTCAGAGCCTGGAGCCTGCTTCAGATTCTGTATCTCCCTCTCTCTCTGACCCTCCCCTGCTCACACTGTCTCTCTCTCTCTCTCTCAGAAATAAATAAAAATAAAAAAAAACATTTAAAAATTTTTTAAAAAAAGAAAGAATTTCACTGTTAAGCCTGAACAACATTCTCTTGTGCGGCTCGACCATGCTTTGTTCATGCAGTAGTCCACCGAAAGCCATTTGGATAGTTTCCACCTTCTGGCAGTTGTGAATCATGTTTCAGTGACAACTCAGGGACACCCGTTTGAGTACCTATGGTCACTTCTTTTGTGTGAGTACCTAGGGGTTGGATCACTGGGTCTGGTGGTAATGCTATGTTTAACTCTTCGAGAAACCACCATTCAAATTCTTTTCAAGTAGCTTCGGCTGCACATACTTTAAAATTGGAATGATACAGAGAAGACCAGCATGGCCCCTGTGCAAGGATGATGTGCAAATTTGTGAAGCGTCCCATATTTGAAAAAAAAAAAAATCTTTCCAGGTAATAGGATCATTCAGGTTCTAGGGATGCCTGGGTGGTTCAGTAGGTTAAGCATCTGACTCTTGATTTCGGCTCAGGTCATGATCTCATGGTTAGTGGGATCGAGCCCCACATCGGGCTGTGCCCTGATAGCAAGGAGCCTGCTTGGGATTCTCTGTCTCCCTCTCTCTGCTCCTCCCCCACTCACGCTGTCTCTGTCTCTCTCAAAATAAATAAAATAGGGGCACCTGGGTGGCTCAGTTGGTTAAGTGTCCAACTTTTGATCTTGGCTCAGGTCATGATCTTGGGGTTTGTGAGTTCGAGCCCCACGTCAGGCTCTGCACTGACAGCGTGAAGCCTGCTGGGGATTCTGTCTCTCCCTCTCTCTGCCATTTTCATACTTGCAATCTCTCTCTTTCTCTCAAAATAAATAAATAAACTTAAAAAAATAGAATAGGCCTTCTCACATTCATCACAATGGCTCAGATGAAAAGATAGAATACTGCCAAGCATTGGTGGGGAGTGGGACCCCGGGAGCACTCACATAGGACTGGTGGGAATATAAGTTGCTATAGCCATTTGGAACCCTTTTGGGCAATGTCTGCAAAGGCTAAACACAAGCTAACCAGACCCAGCAGAAATACGTACCATGGTCATCAGAAGACATCTACAAGATTGTTTATCTGGGGATGCCTGGTTGGCTCAGTCTGTAGAGGGTGAGGCTCTTTTTTTTTTTAATTTTAATTTTTTAAGTTTATCTATTTTATTTATTTATCTATTTTATTTATTTATTTATTTTTTACAAATAGTTTATTGTCACGTTGGTTTCCATATAACACCCAGTGCTCACCCCACAAGTGCCCTCCTCCATGCACATCTCCCCCCTACCCTCTATTTATTTTAAAAGAGAGAGAGAGAGCCTGAGTAGGAGAGACGCAGAGAGAAAAAGAATTCTAAGCAGGCTCTACACTGTCAGTGCAGAACCCAGCGTGGGGCTCAGATTCATGAACCATGAGACCATGACCTGAGCTGAAATCAGGAGTCAGACGCTTCACTTACTGAGCCTCTAAGTGTGCCCCATAGCGTGCCCTTGATCTCAGAGTCATGAGTTCAAGTCCCACATTGGGTGTAGAGGATACTGAAAAATAATAGTAGAGGTTAAAAAAATGTTTATCCCAGTGCCATTTATGCTGTCTGCAAAGAAGCAATGATCTAAATGCCCATCCACAGAAGAGTGGACACATGTGGCTTATTCATACAATGGAATGAGAGTACAGAGCCATTTCTACACACATAAATCTCTCAAACATAACACTAAGTGAAAAGAGTACTACTGTCTGATTTCACTGATATTAAGTCAAAATGGGAAAATTAATCTACTTTAAAAAAAGTTTGTTCTTTAATTGCTGGGTGCAGTGTTTATATATTCATTAAATTAAGCTTGTTAGGGGCTCCTGGCTGGCTCCGTTGGTGAAGGATGGGACCCCTGATCTCAGGGTTGTGGGTTCAAGCCCCACATTGGGTGTGGAAATTACTTAAAAGTAAAATATTAAAAAAAAAATCTCTTTAAATCAAGCTTGTCAATTGTTCTGGTCAAATCTCTATCCTTACTTACTTCTTACACACTTGATCTGTCAGATACTAAGAGAGGTTGTGTTAAACTTTCCCACCATAACAGTGTACTTGGCAGTTTCTTCTCATACATCTGTGTTTTTTTTTTTTTAATCTCTCAGGGCTATATTACTGGATGCTTACAAGTTTAGAATGAATTGAAATGTTTTTTCATTATATAGTCCTCTTTATCATGGGTAACGATTTTTGCTCTCTTTTCTGTTTTGTCTGATGTTTAATAGCTCTTCCAGCTTTCCCTTGGCTACTGTTTTCCAGTTAATCTTTTTCTTTATTTTCAATTTTTTAGTGTCCTTATGCTTTGGAACCACCTCTTGTGAATAGCATGTAGAGGAATTAGTATTTTTAAAATTTTTATATTTTTTTAGTGTTTGTTTTTGAGAGGGGGAGGAGAGGGAGAGGGAAGGGGAAGGGCAGAGAGAAGGAGGGAGACACAGGGTCCAGGCTCTGAGCCATCAGCACAGAGCCCAACGCGGGGCTCGAACCCATGAAGCAGGAGGTCATGACCTGAGCTGAAGTCGGATGCTTAACTGACTAAGCCACCCAGGTGCCCCGAATCCTACAACTTAAAAAAATTTTTTAATGTTTTTGTTCATTTTTTTTTGAGAGACAGAGAGGCAGAATGTGAGCTGGGGAGGGGCAGAAAGAGAGGGAGACACAGAATCTGAAACAGGCTCTAGGCTCTGAGCGGGCTGTCAGCACAGAGCCCGATGCGGGGCTTGAACTCATGAACCGTAAGATCATGACCTGAGCTGAATTCAGACACTTAACCAACTGAACCCAGGTGCCCCTGGATCCAAGAATTCTAAAATCGGGTCTTTATAGCTCGCTGTCGCTGTCTGGTTTCTGCTGTTCTTATTTATGGTGCTTTGCCTCCTTGTGTGTCCTGTGGTTTTTGCTTGGGAAGTGTTCGTTTTCTCCTATTTGTATTGTTCATTCTGTAGTTCTTTGAGGTTTAGATTGAAGGTGAGTTCTCCCAGAAAGTTCACATTTGCTTCTGAAAGTCACCTGAGGGCCCTATTCACCCATAATGGTTGTGTGTGTGTGTGTGTGTGTGTGTGTGTTTCATATGCACATGCTTGGTATTTTGGAGTTCAGGAAAATAGAAACCAGTCAGTGTATTTTAAGCAGAAAGGAGTTTAACACAGGAAATTAGGTGCTTATAAAATTCCTGGAAAAACAGAGGATGGTCATCAGGAGGTTTCCCTGGAACTGTTGAATTGATTCAGGCATAAGGAAGCTAGGATTATGGGGCCACTAAGGCTTCTGAAGCTGTTGCCATAACAACCACATCTACCCACAAAGCTGCTGATAAAACCTTGAAATACCCAGTCCAGCCACTGCGATAACTGGCTTTCACACTCGTTTCCATCACCTTAGTTGCGGGCAGAAAGGCCCACCTCTGCCTCACGTCCATCTACCAAATGGGATGCAGGTCTGTGCAATTGGCCAAACCTAATCCATATCTAGAACTTAGCTGCAAAAGAGCCTCAAAATGAACTTTTCCTTTCTAGCCTCTGCAGTGCGAGTTGGATGTGCATTCTGAGTTCTTTGATCCTATTTGGCACAGAACCACTGGACAGCTCAGTTCGTGTTCCTCTTCAGTCCACCTTTGCCTCGTGTATCTTTTTCCATCCCTTATTTTGAACCTGTGGGAGACACTATTCACTGGATACTGAGCACTCACTTGTATACTTATACTTCTCTCTTGTCTACTTTTACTGCCTAGGTGGGGGGTGACTATCTTCTTTTGTCAGGTGACAACAGTTTTGCTTAATGAAACACAGGCAGAAGTTGAGAATTCTGGGAAGGTGTTTGCTTTCCCTGAAAAAGGAAAACAATGTCACTAGTTTTGCTTCTTTCCCTTTCCTGCTTTCAGTGTGGATGTAAAGGCTGGAGTCTTGGCAGCCTTTCTGTGACCATGAAGAAAAGGTAAAGAGAAATGCTGAGACACCATCCCTCTACTACTGAACAAAGGTGAGCAGCCATATGCTCCCAGGCTTCTAGAAGAAAAATAAACCCACTTTGTTAGCTATTGTTAGGTGGTGTTTGTTATTTGTACTCAAAAGTAGCCCTAAACAATACATAGCTTCCTTTCTATGTGTGTCTTCTGTGAATAACTTAGAGATTTTGTTGTTGTTAACTAAATCTGAAAGTCTCTGTATTCTAAAATGGGGATTCAATCCATTCTTTTGTGATTGCTGATATATTTTGACTTATTCCTGAAATCTTATTTTGTTTCTTTTTTACCACGATTTTTTAAAAGATTTTAGTTTGAGGTTATCTCTACATCCAACATGAGGCTTGAACTTGCAACCTTGAGATTAAGAGTAGCATGCTCTACTGACTGAGCCAGCCAGGTGCCCCTACTATGATTTTTTTAACGTTAAATTTACCCCTTTTTCTTTCCATTTGTTGGATTGATTTTTTTTTAAGTTTGTTTATTTAATTTGAGAAAGAGAGAGCGTGCCCACACGTGTTGGGGAGGGGCAGAGAGGACAGAGAATCCTGAGCAGGCCCCACACTCAGCACAGAACCCGACACAGGGCTCGAACCCATGAACCATGAGATCATGACCTGAGCCAAGACACTTAACCCAGTGGAGCCGCCCAGGTGCCCCAAGATTGATTGTTTTTTTAAAATTTCATTTTCTTTTTCTTCAAATGGTTTAGAAGTTGTACATCCAATTTCTAGTATTCCCAACTGAGGCCAGTTTCTGATTGCTTTCTCTTTTTGTGTGCTGTAGGCTAAAGACTTTCTACTTGTCTGTTTTTATGTTCATGTTATGATCCTTTCTTTGATCCAATCTGCTGTCAATCCTCTGAAACAAAAACCATTTTTTTTTAGATCCAGCATTTTTCAGGTCTAAGAGTTCCATTTGCTTCTTTTATATTTTCTATATGACTCCTAAAAATTCCCTATATTTTCATCCATTCTATCCATCATTTCCTATAAAATCTTTATTTTTATGATAATTATTATCTTTAGTAATTCAGCACCAGGTTATCTATGGGTCTGCTTCTACTGACTGCTTTTTCCTCCCACTTATTTTTTAAAAATTTTTTTAATGTTTTTATTTATTTCTGAGATAGAGAGAGAAAGCGTGAGCAGGAGAGGGTCAGAGAGAGACGGAGATACAGAATCTGAAACAGGCTCCAGGCTCTGAGCGGGCTGTCAGCACAGAGCCCGATGCGGGGCTCGAACCCATGAACCGTGAGATCACGACCTGAGCCAAAGTCAGATTCTTAACCGACTGAGCCACCCAGGCGCCCCTTTCCTCTTGCTTATGACATGCATTCTCCTGCTTCTTCTCATGTCTCATGAATTTGTATCATATACTGAACACATGATTTCTGTCATCTTTCTCTGAA